AGCTCACACACAGCAGCAATAGCACACAGCAGCTCACACACAGCAGCAGCAGCTCACACAGCAGCAGCTCACACACAGCAGCAGCAGCAGCTCACACACAGCAGCAGCAGCTCACACACAGCAGCAATAGCACACAGCAGCTCACACACAGCAGCAGCAGCTCACACAGCAGCAGCTCACACACAGCAGCAGCAGCTCACACACAGCAGCAGCTCACACACAGCAGCAATAGCACACGGCAGCTCACACACAGCAGCAGCAGCTCACACACAGCAGCAATAGCACACAGCAGCTCACACACAGCAGCAGCAGCTCCTCACACACAGCACGGCGGCCCTGCGATGAGCATCACCGCGGGGCGCCACATGCGCCCCGCTCGCCCGGGGCCTCTGCCCCTTGGCCGCGGCGAGTCCGCGACACGCGGCCATTCGGGCGATTGGCGAGCACCAAACGCTGCGGGACATCGGCGTGTGCGGCACGTGGAGGACATTAGATACCACTTCTCGAGCGAGCCGAGGAGGGGGGGCCCATCGGCTACTGGAGCCGCGTGTTGTGTCCCTCCCCGCCTCCACATCTCCAGGCTGCGGGATCAATCACGTGGCAGTGCGGTCTGGATCGCGACTCTAACACGCGCGTTGTGACCTGATGCACTCGGCCCGGTCTCCAATAACCATAAAACTGCCACCGTAATGTAAAAAAGCCGTGTTTATTATATATGTATTATATATTTCTTATATATAGATGCGCCGCCGATATCCTGGGGTGAGAATTGAGGCTGCAGCCGCCCGTGATTGAAACCGGCTTGTCCCGTGGAGGAGTTTATGGCCTAAGCCGGGTCACCAATCACCGCGGGTAAAAATAAAAATTGGTTATGCAGTGAATATGAAGCAACAACACAAATCCAGCTCTGGGATTTAAAAAAATATAAATCCGTTTGGCTCGTGCGTGTGCCCACGAACGTCACTCTCAGTGGCGGGCCGCGTTTGGGAAGTGCTGCCCCATCATGTCAGGAATAGAGAGTTCACTCGAAGGCATCTGGGAGGGGGCTCCGTGGCGACACCCGCACCCACGATGGGCCCTCCTCTCGCACCCACGATGGACCCTCCTCTCGCACCCACGATGGGCCCTCCTCTCGCACCCACGATGGGCCCTCCGCTCGCACCCACGATGGGCCCTCCTCTCCCACCCACGATGGGCCCTCCTCCCGCACCCACGATGGGCCCTCCTCCCGCGCGGAGGCGCGGACCGCTGCGCGAGACGCCCCGGACGGATTCTGTCCGCCCCTTGACGTGACGACGCGGAGTGAGCTCGGCACGGATGTCGTAAAATGCCCCAAGATTCTACAAAATCCCGGCACGAATGTGGCTCACCTTGCCAGACTGTGACACAACTCGTGGCGGGGCGCGTGGGAATGTGAAGTGAGGCCGAGGGATAACGGGAACTGCGACGCTGCTCCGTCGATGTCGCCTTGCAGAGGCCAGTTGTCAGCCACGGGAAGCCGATGCTCTGCCCCTCGCTAATGGCGCCGTCTTCCTCTGCGGCACGCAGAATGCAAGGGCACGTGACACCGGGGTCGTTCCACAAGGGCACGTGACACCGAGGTCGTTCCACAAGGGCACGTGACACCGGGGTCGTTCCACAAGGGCACGTGACACCGGGGTCGTTCCACAAGGGCACGTGACACCGGGGTTGTTCCACAAGGGCACGTGACACCGGGGTCGTTCCACAAGGGCACGTGACACCGGGGTTGTTCCACAAGGGCACGTGACACCGGGGTTGTTCCACAAGGGCACGTGACACCGGGGTCGTTCCACAAGGGCACGTGATACCGGGGTTGTTCCACAAGGGCACGTGACACCGGGGTTGTTCCACAAGGGCACGTGACACCGGGGTCGTTCCACAAGGGCACGTGATACCGGGGTTGTTCCACAAGGGCACGTGACACCGGGGTTGTTCCACAAGGGCACGTGACACCGGGGTTGTTCCACAAGGGCACGTGATACCGGGGTCGTTCCACAAGGGCACGTGACACCGGGGTCGTTCCACAAGGGCCCGTGACACCAGGGTTGTTCCACAAGGGCACGTGACACCGGGGTCGTTCCACAAGGGCACGTGACACCGGGGTTGTTCCACAAGGGCACGTGACACCGGGGTTGTTCCACAAGGGCACGTGATACCGGGGTCGTTCCACAAGGGCACGTGACACCGGGGTCGTTCCACAAGGGCCCGTGACACCGGGGTTGTTCCACAAGGGTGCGCACGACTGCGCAGGTGTTTTGTTGCGGTCGTGCTGTTGTTGCACAGCTCTCCGATGCATTGTCGGGTTGCACCACCCCCGTCATCCGGCACGACGTGCGAGGTTTCGCTCTCTCGGAAGTTCCCCAGCACGCGCGGTCACTTCACGTCGAGGGACGCCGTTCCGACCAACGCGCCGTGCCACCCGACGCGTCGCTTCTGGACCAGCTCGGACACACCCAACCAGCCGGTCCACTCCGATCGCATCCAACCCACGCTCCCGGCCGGCCGGAGCAGAGATCGGACCACGACTTTCTTGAGACGGTCTCTCTCTGTACGCAAGGCCGCCCAGCCAGCCAGCCAGCCGGCCAACCAGCCGCCCAGCCAGCCGCCCAGCCAGCCAGCCGGCCAGCCGCCCAGCCAGCCGCCCAGCCAGCCGGCCATCCGGCCAGCCAGCCGCCCAGCCAGCCAGGGTGCATACATCCCCCCCCCCCCCACATTTTTTAAGCACACCACCCGATTTGCACGCTCGCTGGCTCGCACGGGATTCACAGACACACGGAGACAAAGAGCGCAATTCTCAACGAGGTCAGACGCCGAGTGGAGTTCACGCGCAGCGCGCGGGCGGGTTTTATTTATTCTTGGCGCAGCACCGCCGCCTCTCGCTGCCAGAGCCTCGCCTCACGCTGCGCACGCCCAGCGCGGCGATGCAAGTGCGACAGCAGGAACACACACACAGAGCAGCAACAAGTGGCCGGGCGGTGGTGGCCACTCTGCACGTGGCTGCCTGTAATCAAGGGCTGCGGAGGGAGCCGCGATGGGGTTGGTGGATCACCGCGCACAGACGGGCGTGAAACTTCCCTTCCCGTGGCCGTCGAGGAGGAGCCCATAGACTGGCTCTGCCAGGAGCAGCAAAAACACGTGGACTCCACCTGTATGGGATGGAGCGTTTCCCCCTCGCACGCGTGGGTTTTCTCCCATATGTAAATGTTAATTGGCCGAAAACACCTTCGTATGTATAGAGCGCAGAGCTTTGGAAAATTGTTGGTAACGCCGGTTTCACCGCGTGGCTGCTGCTGCTGCTTTTCCACTCAACTGCGGCTCCTCCTCCCCTCTCTCTCTCTCTTGGAGCGCGAGCCAATACGGTGGCGGCCGCGGCTGGAGAGATTGTTGTTATCACGACAGCAACGCCGGTAATTGCAGCCAAGGCAGCTGCAGCAGAGAGTACAAGGTGGGGGGGAGGCAGAGAGAGCGAGAAAGCCACCGCAGCCCACAAACGAGCGCGGTTCGCCACGTGCACTGCGAGAAGCGCAACGCACAAAGTTAGCACCGCGGTGGGCAGCAACCACCGCCAGGCACGCTCCACCGCTGGTCGGGAGAACGAAGACAAGGGCGAGCTCCCGGTCACATGGGCATCGAGACGGGGCGCTCATGTCCTGCTTACAGCCATCCCCGAGGAGCCAGTGGTGTAATTCCACATTCCCATGGATCGGCAAGGAAGTCCACAGGAAACACGCTGTTCAATTCACCACAATGTGGTAATGATTTTATCGACCCCTCCCCCAGAGGGATGATGGGATGACTGAACCCTTCAAAGCAGATCACCGCTGCATCGCGTGCAGCGTGATGCAGCGGTGTGTTAGTGTGGGTTAGTGTGTTAGTGTGAGTGTAGGTGTGTGTGTTAATGTGAGTGTAGGTGTGTGTTAATGTGAGTGTAGGTGTGTGTTAATGTGAGTGTGTTAGTGTGCGTGTGTTAGTGTGAGTTAATGTGAGTGTTGGTGTGTGTCAGTGTGTGTGTGTTAATGTGAGTGTTGGTGTGTGTCAGTGTGTGTGTGTTAATGTGAGTGTTGGTGTGTGTCAGTGTGTGTGTGTTAATGTGAGTGTTGGTGTGTGTCAGTGTGTGTGTGTTAATGTGAGTGTTGGTGTGTGTCAGTGTGTGTGTGTTAATGTGAGTGTTGGGGTGTGTCAGTGTGTTAATGTGAGTGTAGGTGTGTGTTAATGTGAGTGTAGGTATGTGTTAATGTGAGTGTTGGTGTGTGTCAGTGTGTGAGTGTGTGTGTTAGTGTGGTAATGTGAGCGTGTTAGTGTGAGTGTGTTAGTGCGAGTGTGTTAGTGTGAGTGTATAGTGTGAGTGTTAATGTGAGTGTTGGTGTGTGTCAGTGTGTTAGTGTGTGAGTGTTAATGTGTGTGTTAATGTGAGTGTTGGTGTGTCAGTGTGGGTGTGTTAGTGTGTGTTAGTGTAGGTGTGTGTTAATGTGAGTGTGTGTGTTAGTGTGAGTGTCTTAGTGTAGGTGTGTGTTAATGTGTTAGTGTGAGTGTGTGAGTGTAGGTGTGTGTGTGTCAATGCGTTAGTGTGAGTGTGTTAGTGTAGGTGTGTGTGTTAATGTGAGTGTGTGAGTTAGTGTGAGTGTGTTAGTGTAGGTGTGTGTGTTAATGTGTTAGTGTGTTAGTGTGAGTGTGTTAGTGTGTTAATGTGTTAGTGTGTTAGTGTGAGTGTGTGAGTGTAGGTGTGTGTGTTAATGTGTTAGTGTGTTAATGTGTTAGTGTGAGTGTGTTAGTGTGAGTGTGTTAATGTGTTAGTGTGTTAATGTGTTAGTGTGAGTGTGTTAGTGTGAGTGTAGGTGTGTGTGTTAATGTGTTAGTGTGAGTGTGTTAATGTGTTAGTGTGAGTGTGTTAGTGTGTTAGTGTAGGTGTGTTAATGTGTTAGTGTGTTAATGTGTTAGTGTGTTAGTGTGAGTGTGTTAGTGTGTTAGTGTGAGTGTGTTAGTGTGAGTGTGTTAGTGTGTTAGTGTGTTAATGTGTTAGTGTGAGTGTGTTAGTGTAGGTGTGTATGTTAATGTGTTAGTGTGTTAATGTGTTAATGTGTTAGTGAGTGTGTTAGTGTACGGTGCCCGCTCGGCGGGGCGTCGCGGCCACGTCCAACGGGAGCACGAGGCTGCAACGCCCGGCGGCAGGGAGATGGACCCAGGCACAGCTGGGAACACGCAGGGGGCAAGGTAGGGGCGTGTTGACACGCGGCATGCAGCCCTCGCCACCGCCCCCCGCCCGCATCTCTTCTCCTTTCGTCTCCTCACTCCCTTCTCCTCCCTGCCCCCCTCGACACAACAGCTGCCGTGTGGCCGAGGAACGGTCGTGAAACTGGTTAAAAGGCCACGTCTTGCCGACCACAGGATCAAGCGTTGCTTCGGAGAATACGGCACGATCGCAGCCGATGAGCGGCTACGTGACCTGGAGCGGCTACGTGGCATGGAGCGGCTACGTGACCTGGAGCGGCTACGTGACCTGGAGCGGCTACGTGACCTGGAGTGGCTACGTGACCTGGAGCGGCTACGTGACCTGGAGCGGCTACGTGACCTGGAGCGGCTACGTGACCTGGAGCGGCTACGTGACCTGGAGCGGCAACATGACCTGGAGAGGCTACGGTGGAGCGGCTACGTGACCTGGAGCGGCTACGTGACCTGGAGCGGCTACGTGACCTGGAGCGGCTACGTGACCTGGAGCGGCTAGGTGACCTGGAGCGGCTACGTGACCTGGAGCGGCTACGTGACCTGGAGCGGCTACGTGACCTGGAGAGGCTACGGTGGAGCGGCTACGTGACCTGGAGCGGCTACGTGACCTGGAGCGGCTACGTGACCTGGAGCGGCTACGTAACCTGGAGCGGCTACGTGACCTGGAGCGGCTACGTGACCTGGAGCGGCTACGTGACCTGGAGCGGCTACGTGACCTGGAGCGGCTACGTGACCTGGAGCAGAAAGAATCGGGGGCTCGACACCATGGAGCATTGTGGGGAGGAGGCAGGGCCGTGGACCCTGGTGGGTGCCGGGGGTTGTGGGTTAAATGGGCCCTGGTGGTCACCGTGGCCTCGGGACGCCACCACTGCAGAACAGAAACCTCGCGACTGTCCATGGGAAGAGGAACAACGTTGCCTGACAACACCGCGTGAATGAGTTCGTGTTGGTGTGTGAGTGTGGGTGTGTGTTAGTGTGTGTGTGGGTGAGCGTGTTAATGTGGGTGTGTGTGTTAGTGTGGATGTGTTAGCGTATTAGTGTGGGTGTGTGTGTTAGTGTGGGTGTGGGTGTGTGAGCGTGTTAATGTGAGTGTATTCATGTGTGGGTGTGTGTGTTAGTGGGTGTGCTAGTGTGGGTGTGAGTGTGTTAGTGGGTGTGTGTTCGTGTGGGTGTGTGAGCGTAGGTGTGTGTGTTAGTGTGGATGTGTCAGTGTGTGTGTTAGTGTGAGTGTGTTAGTGTGGGTGTGTGTTCATGTAGGTGTGAGCGTGTTAGTGTGGGTGTGTGAGTGTAGGGGTGTGTGTTAATGTGAGTAAATGTGTGTGTGTTAGTGTGGGTGTGAGTGTGTTAGTGTGTGAGTGTTGGGTGTGTGTTCGTGTGGGTGTGTTAGTGTGTTAGTGTGTGTGTGTTAGTGTGTTAGTGTGGGTGTGTTAGTGTGAGTGTTGGTGTGTGTGAGTGTGTGAGTGTGGGTGTGTGTGTTAATGTGAGTGTTGGTGTGTGTTAGTGTGAGTGAGTTAGTGTGAGTGTTAATGTGAGTGTTGGTGTGTGTCAGTGTGTTAGTGTGTGAGTGTTAATGTGTGTGTGTGTTAATGTGAGTGTGGGTGTGTGTCAGTGTGGGTGTGTTAGTGTGTTAGTGTGAGTGTGTTAGTGTGAGTGTGTTAATGTGTGTGTGTTAATGTGAGTGTGTTAGTGTGAGTGTGTTAATGTGAGTGTTGGTGAGTGTGTTAGTGTGAGTGTGTTAATGTGAGTGTGTTAATGTGAGTGTGTTAATGTGAGTGTGTTAATGTGAGTGTGTTAGTGTGAGTGTGTTAGTGTAGGTGTGTGTGTTAATGTGAGTGTGTTAATGTGAGTGTTAATGTGAGTGTGTCAGTGTGAGTGTGTTAATGTGAGTGTAGGCGTGTGTGTTAATGTGTGAGTGTGTTAATGTGAGTTGGTGTGTGTGTTAATGTGTGTGTTAATGTGTGAGTGGGTTAATGTGTGAGTGTATTAATGTGTGAGTGTGTTAATGTGAGTGTTGGCGTGTGTGTTAATGTGTGAGTGTGTTAATGTGTGAGTGGGTTAATGTGTGAGTGTGTTAATGTGTGAGTGTGTTAATGCGAATGTTGGTGTGTGTGTTAATGTGTGAGTGTGTTAATGTGAGTGTTGGTGTGTGTGTTAATGTGTGAGTGTGTTAATGTGAGTGTTGGTGTGTGTGTGTTAATGTGTGAGTGTGTTAATGTGAGTGTTGGTGTGTGTCAGTGTGGGCCGGTGGCCGCGTCGTCGCGCTCCGGCTGCCTCTGCTCCAGGACGGCGGCGATGGCCCCGGCGATGGCCTCGCTGTTGGCGGCGATGACCCGTCGCGACATCAGGTCAAACGGACCGCCTGTGCACCCGCACGGACGGTGGGGACAGGACGACGCGTCAGCCACTCGGAGTGAGCACGGGCGGGGAGGGGGGACCGTGTGGATATCGCCGCTGTGTGCATTAATGTCATCCTCATTACTCTAATTAGTTTCAGCCTGAGTGCCATTTGAGTTGCTCGTCGTCAAGGACAAAGCGGCACGGGTGAAAGTTTCTCAATGGCTGCATCGTCCGTACCGCATTGCAAACGAACATTCAACTTGGTCCGCGATCGCATCCTTCGTGAGCGATCATCTCAACTGCCACTGTGTTCTGGCGCCTCGAAATATTCTGCACGGGAGGAGGCGCGGTTGTAAATGACAAAAGTGGATGAGGATAACGACGACGATGAGAAAGGTGATGGGGGGCGGAGCGGTGCCGGCGACGCGGGGCGTACCCCCAGTGTCGACGAGCACCCCGCCGGCCTCGCGCACGATCACGGCCGCCGCCGCCATGTCCCAGCAGTGGATGCCGAACTCGTAGTAGGCCTCGGCAAAGCCGGCCGCCACCGCGCACATGTTGAGGGCGGCCGAGCCGAGCTGCCGGATCCTGCGACACAGAGAGAGAGATATCCGCGTGTCTCCACGCGCGTCCCCGCCCATCCCTCCTCGCGCGCCGACACGTGGGGCAGTGGCTGTCTTGTTGGCAGGATGGCAACGGAGGGTTGAGTGGCGATGCCCGCAACAACGAGCGGAGCGCCGGGGCGGCAAAAAAGCAGCGAGTTGACACAGCGGGGAGCGCAGGTGGTTCATCTGCCGGTCAACTCATTCGGTTAACCCATGGCACCTGGGTCTGTCCCATGACTCCCTGCCAGTGAGCCGCATCACGTGGCCTTGCCTGGCAGGGGCGCCGTGGCGACATCAGCGCGACTGTTGATGTTGTCTCGTTGCCCATCCATAAAAAGTGAAGCAACTCCTCATCGGTGAGAAATCCACACTCGGTCAACATTCCAGGCTGAGCGTGCAGCCCCTCACTTCGGACATCGCGATGGTGAACAGTTCGCGGAACCTCTGGCGTTGTTACGGCTTCCGTGATTTAATAGATCATTGCTAAGCGGGCTCACAATTCCATTCACAAATAAACGACTCTGCATGTACCTACGTGCAACGAATAACCCGGTGAACATATCATTAAAAGCGTCGCATTATATGCAGAGTGGTTGAAGTACATTAAGTTACATAACTTCGAGTGGGACTTATGCTTAAAAACGTAGTGTTTTACGCCCTGAAAATTGGAAGCAGTCCAATAATTACACGCACAACGAGCGCCCGTGGCGCACCGCTCCGAAGCGGAACGAGGTTTAGGCCTGCAAGAGCGGTGCCTTCGCGAAAGAAGCAACACGAATAGAGGCGGCCTCCCATTCAACGACGATCCGCACCCCCGAGGTGTTTTCGTAACGCCGCCGTGGATCGACACGCGACGCAGAAACTCGACTGGCGACTCCGAACGTGACTTGGCGTGGAGCTTTTGTTACGATCGAGTGTTTTCGTGGATCGTTACCTAACAAAACCCTGTTAAATACGGCTGACAAAGGGGAACAAAAACACTTTGGCCAGTAATGTTTCGACTGTCTATGGGGAAAATAGGGTCCCCCCCCATTTAACTCGTGACAAAAACGACACGGCGGTGGATTTTCACCGCTTTGGAGCGCCGTCCGATTGCCCGGCGTTGCGTAACAACCGCCTCCTGTTGGGATTCTCGCGAAGGTGGAACCTCGGGGACGATCGTTACGGCTTCGATGCGCCGACGACGCCGGACGGCCACCGGGGAACCGCGTGGGCCCCGCGCGTGCGTCACGCCGTGCCTACCCGTGCAGCGGTGTCGCCAGCAGCCGATGCATGTTTCCCAACGTCGTCTTCATTTCCGCCGCGTCTCGGCTCGACCCCATCTCCGTCAGCAGCAGGGCTTTGGACAGATCTGCGACAAGAGGCGTTCTGCGTCGGGGTCGGTCAACGCCACACCGAGGGGGGAAGCAGCGGCGGCAGGCGGCGCGCGAGGGCCGGCAAGGCGGCGGCGCCCTTCACGCGGGGGGAGGGGCGCCCTTCACGCGGGGGGAGGGGGAGGGGCGCCCTTCACGCGGGGGGAGGGGCGCCCTTCACGCGGGGGGAGGACCGCCCGCGCGACGCCAATCTCGGCTGGTGCAGGGACCCACGCGGCTCCTCTTTGAGCGTTCCCACCGGAACGGCCGCCCCCACCTCGTCACCACTTCGTCATTTGCAAACGAGGCAGAGCGTTCGGACACGTCGGCTTGGATTTGACTCTCGGGGCCAAGCCCCCCCCCCCCCCCCCCACCGTACGTTCCCGATTACTAGGCATGCAAACGGCTCGTCGATTCAAAATCAATCGCCGCTTCTACGCGCGAGTGACCATCCCATCGCTCTCAATCCGCGTACACTACACGTGCTCGTTCCACGCGACACATATGCGTTTGCGCGCGCTCTGACCACGCGGCCACTGCCGCCGCAGCCGGAGAATATTCCAGCTACGGGGGAGAGACCACGGGGAGCCCGGGAGGTGGAAGGGGCAGTGGCAGGGCCGGAGGACGAGCGCAGAGTTTGGGCGGATTCAGAGGACGAGGTAACGGAAGAAAAGGAAGCGATGTGAGGGGGGGGGTTAGAGCTGAGAGGAGAGATGGAGAAGCCTGGAGCGAGGCAATGCCCACGCCGTGGCAGACGAGCACTCGATAGCGCGGAGACCCGAACACTGCCATCACAAGTGTTACATGTGACGTGTGTACATAGCACAGCGGACGCACCAGCTGCCGAAGTTGTTCATTGTTTTTGGGCACAATTAGGGTTGTGTGTTTCACAATGAACCATGCGCAGCCTTTAATGAATGGGTCAGCATTGGATAATGACTCGTTACACTTTGTAAAAACCCCTTGTGATCCAAACTCATAGTTTAAACGTCCCTCTCTGTCTGGATTCTCCCGGCACATTGACGGATGAGTGTTAGCCTATTCATATTCTTAGCTCTTTCGGTAAAGTCACGTTGAAGGGAAACAATAAAATATATATAAAACAATAAAAAATTCTCACGACGTTTCGACCATAACACAAACGGTCGTCATCAGGTGTGTCGGTCAGCATTAATTAATGTATTTGCAAACGGCGCATTTATTTATTTATTTAAAAAACGTCGGCGCCACGCACAGCGATTTGACAGTTTATTTAGAAGGACTAGTCCATCAATGTTCTGAGAAGAGGAGGGGGGAGACGAAAAATTAATGTATGCTGTCTGAAAGCCACTATAAGCGTGAACAATCAATTAAGACCTGAAATGGTTAATGAAATCTTTCCAATGATTGCTAAGCCAGAATCCATCTTCTCGGTTGAAATTGTCTCTGTGCTTGTATATGTGGATAGCCTCATGAACGAATCTCTCATGGTAGCCAGATGGCTTACCAAGAACCTCTGTCTTGGAAAAGTCAATGTCATGTGAGCCTATTGAATTATAACAATGATCTGCCACGGCCGAGGTGTTGGTCCAAAACGTCAGCGCCACGCGCAGCGATTTGGCAGTTTAACACCTCGGCCGTGGCAGATCATTGTTATTATTCAGTAGGCTCACATGACATTGACTTTTCCAAGACAGAGGTTCTTTGTAAGCCATCTGGCTACCATGAGAGATTCGTTCATGAGGCTATCCACATATACAAGCACAGAGACAATTTCAACCGAGAAGATGGATTCTGGCTTAGCAATCATTGGAAGGTTTTGATAAACCATTTCAGGTCTTAATTGATTGTTCACGCTTACGGTGGCTTTCAGACAGCATACATTAATTTTTCGTCTCCCCCCTCCTCTTCTCAGAACATAGATGGACTAGTCCTTCTAAATAAACTGCCAAATCGCTGCGTGTGGCGCTGATGGTTTTTAGAAATAAATAAATACACCGTTTAAAAATAAATACATCTATGCAAACCGACACACCTGATGACGACCGTTTGTGTTATGGTCGAAACGTCGTGAGAATTTTTTATTGTTTTATATATATTTTATTATTTTATTGTTTCCTTTCAACATGACTTTACCGAAAGAGCTAAGAATATGAATTACTGCAGTCACGAAAGCTTTAAATCAAAATGTTAGCCTATTGTTGGCTTGAGGGGGGAGGGGGGGAGCGATAAGGGAGAGAATCAGGGGGAGTAACTGAGGAGGGCAAGCGGGGGGCTGACTCTCACACACCTGTAACCCCCCCCCACTTCTCTGTGTTGTAGCTCCCGTTAAGAAGACATTCTACCTCCGTCCTTCATTTATCCTCTGTGTCTCGTTGTTGAATTAAACTGAAAAGTGTTGCTGCTGCTGGTTGTTGGCGGTTTTAGTTCAGAACCGCAACGTAAAGAGGAGGTGGCCTCGCTGCCATTGTTGATTATTTGGATTGCTATAAATGTCCAAATGATAAGCCACTTTGGTGAGCTATCATTTGTGGCCAGGTTGCTTTTGAAAAATAGGTTAATAGCTCAGTGGGCTTTGCCTGGTAGGATGGGGATGGTTTCGTTTTATTTGTTTGTGTTTGGGTGATTTGATTACCTTGCTTGCACTACAATCGTGTTTTTGTACTGTTTGTTGTTGTGACGTTCTTACCCTACCCTACTGGACATGTGTGAAAAGAGCTTAATAGCTCATTGTATTCCTCCAGTATAAACATTTTGGTCTCACTGAACCTCGCTCACCTGGGGAATGTTCCCTACACCTGCTGCCTCGCCTCACTTTATGGTGTTGGTTCTGTGGACGTTTTATTCGTTTGTGTTCATTTGAACATTTTATTTTTTAATTATTGTTATATTAAAACAATTGTTCCATCTGGTGAAAAGTATCGCCACGTGCAGCGTCCGTGTGGACTTTCTGCGCATCAGGCCAGCCGGTGACTTTTTTTCCCGTCCGGGTTTTTCTCAACACGTAAAAGGTTTCACGCCGCCGACGCGGTGAGATGCCAACGCCGCAGAGAGCGGCGGCTGACGGCAGGGACAGCGGCACGAAGGAAAACGACGGCAGAGAGGTGGCAATGGAGGTGACGCGGTGAAGAAGGGTCACCGAGGCACGATGCACGGGAGGAGCACGAGGGTGCGACCCAGCATCCTCAGGCCCCCGGTTGGGTGCGTGAAGCCGACAGCGGTGCGTGAAGCCGACAGTGGTTCGTGAAGCCGACAGCGGTGCGTGAAGCCGACAGCGGCACGAGGCCGTGCGGCTGGGTCGAGGCCGACCTGCAGGAGAGGCGGACTGAACCCTCGGCCTTCGTCGCGGTGCCCCCGTGTGCCCAGTCAAGACACCGGAGAACGAGGGCTAAGGCGCCGAGGTCACCGTGGGCAGAATGGGGGCCCCGATTGTCCAGCGACTGGCGGGAAACGACGAGTGGATCCCAGACGATTATGAATTCATAATAATCATTTACATTCATTTGTAAGGCGCCTTCCACTGTCTCAAAAGGTACGGGTGGGTGATTACTCTCCCGTCTTTCTGGGGCACACGCATGATTTCCTTTGCGAGCGGCATCTGAGCGAGTCTGGAGGTGAGTCTGACAAGTAGGGGAAGTGGTCTCGTGCTCAATAATTGAGTCACTGTTATCATCACCGTTGTTATCTTCCAGCACAATCTTAGTTATCTTTTGTTCTTGTGAAAGACAAGGAGAGAGACCCATGGACTTGCACTGAAACCCAGAGATGTACAGCTTTTCACAGAGACCAAGAGAGATAATAGACAGTGATGGAGGTCCATAGACTTAACAAGACCCTTTAGGCATGCTTAGAAAATCAGAGACTGGTAGGTGTTCATAGACACCTACAGAGACCCGAGAGAAACTCATAGACACTCATAAAGACTTATAGAGATACATAGAAACCCATGTGACAGGGAGGGTGGCACAGGGCGAGAGAGGCATGGATTTGTGTGTATGGACTGTGAGGATGTTGTGCAATCTGTAAGGTTGTGGGGGAGTACAGAACAAGAGCAGTCAAAGTGCTGAGTAAACCAAAGTTCACAAACACGGAACCGGGCGTTTTACGGACAGGTGGGAAATAAAAAAAACGAGGGAGAGGGTTAAATGGAAATGTATCATTGCCGTCGGATGGCACCATTTTTCACATTGCATACATGTCATCAGCGCTCCCAAGATTATGTTTATACGGGAACTTGTGTGTGGACAATTGCACGTGGCGTGTTTTAGTCGATGGATTGCGGACATGGTCGCTACACAGATGTGCCACAGATGTAGGGAAATCAATGCGTTAGGAGTACAATAAAAAGACGGGTTTAGGAATTATTCAGGGAAATAATAGGGGTCAACGATGCTGCTGTTAAGTCAGAGGAAATGAAGCAGAAATGGGCAGAATGCGAGAGGTGAACAACCGATGAGAGACGGAATTCACTGAGGAGTGAAGACCGTGAGAAGGTAATAATTAAAGCAGAAGAGACACAGAGGAAGGGATGGCAGCAGCAAGATGACATCACAGAGGCCCTGCTGGACAGGCACAATTAAGGAAAGGATGGCCTGGAAGAAAATTTGGAGGAAGGCTTTTTGCCCAGCAGCAGCAGCAGCATCAGCAGTGGGAAGTTGCAGGACTGACATCAACAAGAGTCAGCGCAGGCGACGGTGAGATGGGGCTGCCACGGTGACAGCGTGGGGGCTGCTACCGTGCTTGCCGGAGACGCTCAGCGCCTCGCCGTTGCAGCGGGCACCCCGTCCGCGGCGGGCCGAGTACATCTTGTCGTCGGCGCAGCTGTACACCACTCCGAGCTCCAGCTGGGTTCGCGAGGACCGGCGCCACCCACGCACACACACAGACAAATTGGCTAATCATTTGGAATAACTCGCGCCACTTTCGCACATTGAGTTTCCAGCGTCCCACGCGCGGCGGGTACGCGGTGTCCAGCGAGCACACGCTGCGCGGCCCGCGCGTGCACGTGCAAGCCATCGTGCGCTGTTTGTTTTTCTGGCGATAATATTTGCGAGCCGTAAATCTGTCGGGCAGGCAATCACCCGGGCACGGTTTGGTTACGGGCAGCCCCTTGCCACCGCGCCTCCACGGCAACGTAACTTGAAGCATTTCAGAAAGGCACATTGTATCCGAGTCGAATCCCAAATCAGTTACCATAAATAATACTCAACACCTCGATATGTACTTTTAGCCCTGCCAGCCCAACCCTGCTTTGCCTTGCGCGTAACTGCACAAATGCGTGTGACCTATACCGCTAAAGAATGCAGGGCGGTGCGCTGGATGCACTGGGTCATATCACCAAAAACAAGATTATTAACGTCCAAGTAGTTTTTACGACAATGTTAATGTCACAGGTGGGTGGGGAGTGGTGACGCGGTGGTGAGTGAATTCCAATATGAACCCCAGTGACTTGAGTTCCATTTCCGGCCATGGCTAACATCAGTGGCGAGTGATATCTGAATGGCTCCTTATCTCCCTCCTTCAATGCACAAGCTACCTAGCGTGGTGAAGTATAGGCCAAACAACCGCCGTGACTGATGGGGAAGCCTTCATCCAGCAGTGGATTGACAAGGGGATGACTAAAATATGATCACTCTTAATGTCACAAAAAGGTTATAGTTAGGATTAATGGCAACGTTGGAAAATGGCTGTAATGGGTGTGTACCATTGTATTTGTGCACAGAGTTCTTGTTTATGAGGCAACCGTTAAATTGGGATTCATTACATTGAGCAACTGTTGCCAAGGTTTAGAGACCGCTGTGAGGTGTGAGCTTACGTTGGTGTATTGATAGTGGCACGGCACTCGCCGCCGGCAATGTGCTGTCGGTGATCGCTGTTGAGCGGTGAGCGACGTGCACGGCACATAGGCCACAGGCCGGCGGCTAGCCGGCAACAAGCAACGCTGCTCGGCACATGTTTTGCAAATCCGGGTGACTTCTCAGCCCTCTCCAACTTCGGTCAAAAGCGTTTACGCAAGATCTGTTGCCGTCTGGCTCTCCGCCTTCTGAGAAGGAGCGCAGCGATAATGCTCGTAAAGATGATCAAAGATTGAAATAACTTGAGTACAAAGTTATGTTGCTGTTCGCGAGAAAGCGGCCAAATTGATGAAACGCGGTTGCCCGTTTCATCCCTGGCAGAGACGTCCGTGAAAAAGAGCTTCTTTTTCATTGGATTCTTCTTCATCAAATTCTTTCAGTCTAGATAAAGATTCCGATTCTGCTCCCCGAGCCGTGTTGTCTCATCGCGGCCGACAGACGCGCCTCGTGCTGGCGCTGGCTGCCATGGCCACGAAATACTTCCGAGCACAGAGGAGCAGTGTAAAGCGTCGCATAACACACGCGGGTCCCCCGATGTGTTCCTCTTGCGTTTTAAAAATCCCGAGGTCGTGCTCCCCTGACCACCGTCGCCCACCGCGAACCCGCAAGACCACGCCCGGGGGAGAGGTGGCGACGGGACGGTAACGGGCGGCCGGCGACACCACCCACCTGCTTCTTGACCGCGAAGCCAATCGAGACGGCCACGAAGGGGAATCTGCAACACGGAGGCGACACCAAGGCGGGGCCATTCGTGAACCGCGGCGACATTTCCCAGCAACGGCAATAACTTTTTCTGTCGAAGCTGCTGGGTTTGACGTCCGAGTGGCGTTTTCAACGCTCGTTGACGGATGGGGCGTTTGCGTGAAAGGTCAGGGGGATGTAGCCCACGGGCAAAGCAGTCCTGGTTCACCGGCAGCATTTAACCGTGGAATGTCCCACCCGGCAACGTCGCGGTACCCATCGGCTAGCCGACTGACCCCGGCAAAAGCCCTCCACGGCTCTCTCCCCCCGCGGCGTCCCCCCGTGCCTCTGGACTGACCGACCGCCGCCGCCGTGGCTGGAGAGGAGACCCACGTGTGCACGAAGTTGGTGGTTCCGTCGACAGGGTCGATGATCCAGGTCGGGGCGTCCTCCAGGTGGCAGCCCTCGCCTGCCGCCACCGACTCCTCTCCGATGAAGCTGCCGCGGAGTACGCGCCGCGCATGGAAACATCGCACAAGCAAACACGGGGGGCGTGTATAGTGGTGCTCAGTGTCTCGGCGTCAGAGAGCACCTTACACCACAGCTCCACGCAACCATTCCAATGCCGCGCTGCAGTCTAGCCCAGGGGATCCCCAGTGGCAGCTGTCCCTGTAGTACTAGATGCTCACTTGCAGCAACAGCCAGCAAGTTGGCGTTAGTCTGCCAGAAGGGGGCGTTGTTGCATATTGGGCTTCCCCGATGAAATAATTTATCAAAGTTGCACCGTGGCACTGGCTGGCACACATTGCCTCCCATGTTTTCGAATAAAATCGCGAGATCTTTAACGCCCACTGTGAAGTACACGGCGCCTACTTATGGTTAATAAACCCGCCGCAGTATTGACCGGGCCGGCCGCTGGGTCCCAACCGCAAACCTCTGCAATGCGTGGCAAACGTGCCACCGCTTGTCAGTGTCACCGATCTGGTTAAGATCCCCGGTGTGGCCTTTTGCCAGGCTGGTGGCGTGAGTGCTATTAGCATGCACCTGCTAAGGGCTGTTTGGCACGCAACGGGGTGGGTGTAGCCAGGACCACACCCTCACATCTCATGCCGGTTTAATAGGTGCTCGCAAACAGCACCTATTACTCCAACAGTGTGTTAAATACCGCACAGGGGATCTTTGACTCAGACATCGCAGACGTACACAGTACAAATTATATATTCGACACTTTTATGAGCGAATGTGTCCCTGCAAGTGCAAATATGCACTTCTTCACTGGTCCACATAGTAGAGGACTGTGTGCAAGACATGCACTGATGCCTTAATCCACCGAGTAAAATTAATTCCTGCAATCACATTGTGTGCATTGAACAGCACGCCTAAAAATCGACTACTTACAACTGATGCAACCGATACGCAAATGGAATGACTGATGTTACGCTCAGCTTATTGGTGCGAACAAAACCGTGGAAACGAGGTAACAGTTACAAAACAGACAAGAGACGTTACAAATTGGAAAAAACAGAACCAATGCTTGAAATGAGTCGCGATCCATGAATCACGGGCAATCGTAGAAACGCTGGGTGGGGGAAGGCCAATCATTGCTGCCTATCGCACAAAGGCACAAGACCCCTCGTACAGCCTCTTTACAGACTGCCAGGGCAAGTGTAATGAGCGAGCTCCCTTTGAGGCATTGGGGTCGGCATGGCGCACAAAGCGGGTGGTGGCGTGGCCCGTCCGATATGCACGCCCGCACAAATGCACCCATGCAGTTGACTGTTCCGATAGTTTTCTGGAAATTTAAATCCTGGAATGAATTCCTAAAATTTAATTTCATTTTGCACAACTCGCCCAGACCACATCCTGTATTTTCCCCATGAGACCGAGATAGAGACACAGACTCCGGACCGCTCGGCTAACTATGCAAAAAATCACCGTGCCCTAATCAGTTTTCCACATTTACGGTGGTGCAGTTATAGCCAATAGATTCAATTGTGAGCAAGATGGAAACCACTACCTCAAAATCAACTACAAATAACCACAATCCAGCCTCCACTTGCAATGTATGAAAGCAGAACTCGCCCAATGATGTGGCTTGATGTGATGTCACACTCTGCGATGGCCTCCCAGCCAGAGCAAGCCTGTAGTGCCACCTACTGTCCACCCAGCCGCTCGGCAAACCCCAACCTTATCCAACTTCTCACATTCTCTGTATAACCAGATGGAAAATTGAGCGTAGGCTGGAAGCAGATAAAAGTAATAATTTGAAGATAATACTTTGTGTAATAAGGTGATTTCTAGCTGGTAAAAAGCACAATTGTGACCGTTGGATTTGTCCTCCCATCATGCCCTGCATGTCACGTGACTTGACCACACGGAGCGTGGAATGCACACAGTCCTGTTTTAGACCACCAACTCAAGAGTCTATGTGGCCACAACATCAGTGTGGACTCTGTTGAAGGCTCGGCAGTCTAAAACAAAGCAGTATGCGTCACACGCTCAGTGCGGTGAAGTCACGTGACACGCAAGGTATGATAGGAGGGCCCAATCCAATCATCACGATAGTGCCTTTTACCTTCTAGAAATCCCCTTGCACATATGATCACTCAAACCCAGTCGCTGGCTGCTCCGCATGGGAGCTGAGGCCTGTGGTGTGCTCCATGTCGGCACTGGGGCCTGTGGTGTGCTCCATATGGGCCCTCGGGGCCTGTGATGTGCTGCACGTGCGCCTTGGGGCCTATGGTGTGCTCCATGTGGGCACTAGGGCCCGTGGTGTGTTCCATGTGGGCCCTCGGGCCTGCTGTGTGCTCCATCTGGGGTCTGGGGCCCATAGTGTGCTCCATATGGGCCCTGGGGCCTGTGGTGTGCTCCATGTGGGCCCTGGGGCCCATGATGTCCTCCATATGGGCTCTGGGGCCCATGGCATACGAACCGGTGGCTGGGGAACTTGTGCTGAAGAAATGAAATGATGAGTTTTTCGACTTTTTGATCTGTCTCCGTGACGAGGTCTGCCTCCGAGCTCTTTGTCAGCACTTCCTTGTCGGTCTTGAGTGCGGCACGCACCACCTTGAACGCGCACGCACGCACACGCACCAAGACACAGAACCCGGGCCGCGAGTAGTGGAGCGTTCATGAGTGGGATGGTGGCTTTGACTTCTTCCTGACATTTTTACCCCATTCATGTGGGGCCTGCCTTCTTGGTCCTGTTTCTCCACTCACTCCTGTCATTGGTCATCATCTCACCGTGGGCATGTAACCCACACTATGTACCAAATAATAAACCACTGCAGTCTGTGCTCCTGCAATGGAGGAACAGCAATATCACACTGAAGCCCTCTCGTCATGGCTAGGAGACCTCGACATCGGCATTTAGCCCCTGAACATACTGGCATCATACGCAATAGAATATAATCGCCACATCCACTCCATAGCCCTTCATGTCCATGGCTAACCACTTCCAGCCACCGCATCCTAGGCTTGCCTCTCCATCTCTGCCACAGCGCTTCCATGTCTCGTCACGATTTTACCAACGTGGTTTTCCTTATTTCCTACGACGAGCCCCATCCTAGCCATCTGATGCGACCTCTCAGCTTGCCTGAGATGGGCACCAACAACTCTTGCCTTCTCCCCGTCTCTTCGTTTGTTTAGAATCTGATCCCTGAGGTCCACCTCGCGAGCCATCCTTGTTTGCGTGGTGCACACCATCTGCTGCTCCTGTGAGTGTTTGAGTACAATATAAGTCCAATAAATAAGTCCCCTATTCCAATACTGCATGGTCTGCTATTCTTTGCCCTTCACATGTTTTTCACTGCCTTTTAAGATTTGCGTGTATTTATATCACTGTAAAGACGAACACAGAGAGCTGACTTGCACCTGTACCTGTACGTATGTTCCGCACCCGTACGTAGCCAACCGTGCTAATCGGAGGTACGGGGGGAAGGACAACACAAAAAAGGACCAAAAACCTCTTCTGGCACCTTTTGCTCTCATATTATATTTGCGCCAAGTTGTATATTCTCGTGTATTGTTTTCGACCATCAAGTAGTTCGTTTTGCTACTTGTGCAGTATTCCTGAAGGACCGTGTACTCGTTCTCTGCAATATGGACCTCCTTGTCTTCTGTTGCTACTGCTGCTGTTGCTCATGCACCACGGATCTCCCGTGTAAATTAGCCGGGAAACTGGCTGAACGGGATTAACCGTGTCACAAATCAAAATAAACTTAAAACGACAACTCGAAGGAGTGGTGGGGGGGGGGGGGGTGATGGCAGCTGCAGCAAACTGCGGCGCCAGGGAGGGCTGTGCTGATGACACCGCTGCTGACGACTCCCACAATAAGCGATGAACATGACGGTGTGCTCATCAAAGTGACAACGATACGAATGGTGCCCAATGGTGACGCTGACGTATCTGTCAACCCTTTATCAGTGACTCCTACCTTATTACAGACAGATTCAGACATTATTGGTCACGCCGTGCTCTCATAAATCTCAACGTCCATCCTACAAAGTATGCGGACTCATGATGCGACTTTTATTATTGAGGATGGCAAAACGCTCCGGAGCGAGATGCCAATGTCGATATCTGCTGCTGGCCACGGCGAAGAGGGCTACGCTCGAGAGAGAGAGACAGTGAATTCGTGTCGATGTGCGCTGTTCCTCCTCCGCTGAAGGTCGCACAGACTGCTCAAGTGGTGGCTGTAACTAAGATCATTCGTTTTTCCCTCTTTATCTGGCAAAAAAGGGTAAAAACCTATTCTCATATTTTGTTACTGGCAAAGGAGGTCCCATGATGTGGTTGCAACTAAACTGTGTGGATGAGTTTTGACGCGGCAGACGGCGGAGGAGACATGCAACCCGTAATTGATGGTGATGCTTTGAGCCATGAAAAGCTTGCCGATAATTATTGGACTGATGCTGCTGAGAAAAGTTAAATGAACAACAGTCACGGCTGATGATGATTTTGCTGCTGCTGCGATCATGATTCAGTGGCTCAGGAACGCCCCGATCTCGTCAGATCTCTTGAGGCTAAGCAGGGCTTTGAGCCTTCGCAGCGTCTGAATGGGTACAGGCGAGTGGGTAAATGTGTCGTTAAAACCCGCCACCACCCGACACAGCCAACTAGTAAGGGTGTCACGTAAACAGAACGTGCCAATTCGTCACTAGTACAGCACACCGGTGTATTGGAGAGCCAAGCCACAACATTTACAATGCGAGTACGACGTTTCGCCAGTAATTACAACTAACTTCATCAGGCGGCAGCCAGATTTGTGGATAAGTCCACCTGCTTCGTACAGCAAGTCGGCTTCTGCTGCTTCTGAACAGCAGAGGGCAATGCAGGAAAACACAGTACTGGACTCATACTCTGTTTTTTTCGGTAAAGTCACGGAGGTAAACAATTAAAAGAAAAGAAAACAACTAAATCAAATCACGACGTTTCGGAGGCAACACAAGCTTCCGCCTTCAGGTGGAACAGTCACAGCAAGATAGCTGCATCAAGTGAGTAAGTTTAACAGTACTGGACGTTAAATTTTGATTTAAAGCTTTCGTGACTGCAGTAATTCATATTCTTAGTTTTTTCGGTAAAGTCACGTTGAAGAGAAACAACAAAATAACAAAATATATATAAAACAATAAAAAATTTTCACGACGTTTCGACCATAACTCAAACGGTCATCATCAGGTGTGTCGGTTTGCATAAATTTATTTTTAAAACGGCACATTTATTTATTTATAAAAAAAAACGTTGGCGTCACGCGCAGCGATTGGCAGTTTGCCCAGGACTAGTCCATCTATTTTTTTTTAAAAGAGGAGGGGGGAGACGAAATTTTTTATAGTGTATGCTGTCTGAAAGCCACTGTAAGCGTGAACAATCAATCAAGAACTGAAATGATTTATCAAATCTTTCCAATGATTGCTAAGATAGAATCCATCTTCTCGGTTGAAATTGTCTCTGTGCTTGTATATGTGGATAGCCTCATGAACGAATCTCTCATGGAAGCCAGATGGCTTACAAAGAACCTCCGTCTTGGAAAAGTCAATGGCATGTGAGCCTACTGAATTAGAACAATGATCTGCTACGGCCGAGGTGTTGGTCCTACCGTGTATAAGGTCTGCTTTATGTTCACGAATGCGGTCCGAGACATGGCGTTTGGTTTCTCCAATGTAACTACTACCACAGAGGCAACTTAGTTTGTAGACACCAGGGTATTGTATGTCCGGAATCACATCTTTTACAGACGGAACCAGATCACGGATTTTATGTAATGTGTTGAAACGGACCTGGATCTTGTGTTTATTCAAGATTTTGGAGATCTTTTTTGTGATCCCAGCAATGTAGGGTAAAGTGATGGTTTTGAAAGGCTCCTCAAGAGGGTTCTTCTTCATGGTTTGAGTGATAGCTTTGCGGATTGTATAGTCGGAGTAACCATTAGCCCTAAGAGCTTGGTGTACGTGCTTTAGTTCACTGCTTATATGTTCCTGGTCGGATATGCATTGGGCTCTATGATACAGAGTCTTGATGAGAGAATTCTTCTGTGATGGATGGTGGTGGGAATCCGGTTTCAGATAAGCATCCGTATGGGTAGCTTTCCTGTAGACAGAGTGGCTCATTGAACCATCAGGTCTCTTTTTAATTAGGACATCCAAAAAAGGTATCTTGCCATCTATTTCGACTTCCATGGTAAATCTGATGGCTGGGTGTATGGAATTGATGTGGTCGAAGAATTGGTCTAGAGCAGGCCGGCCATGTGGCCAGATGACAAAAGTGTCATCCACGTACCTCTTCCATAAGGTTGGGCGCAGAGTGGCAGTCTGGATGGCGTCAGTCTCAAATTTCTCCATGAAAATGTTAGCTATAACTGGAGAAAGGGGGGAGCCCATTGGGGTGCCCTCAGTTTGTTTGTAGAAAGTTCCATTCCAAGTGAAGTATGTATTGGTTAAACAGTGTCTCACCAGTGGGGGTACCTCAGTGTTTAGTCCTTGATGAACCAAGTCTTCAATGATTGCAATGGTGTCAGGTACAGGAACCTTGGTGAATAAGGAAACTACATCAAAACTGACAAGCAGGTCGTCTGGGGACAGGGAAATACCCTTGATTGTTGATACCAGGTGAGTAGAATTTTGTACCGCAGAGGTGGTCTTTCCAGTGAAAGGACGCAGGATTTCAGACAAAAAACGAGCTAGTTTGTAGGTGGGGGAGCTGATAGTAGAGACTATGGGACGAAGAGGTGTATCAACTTTATGTATTTTTGGTAAGCCGTATAATCTTGGTGGCCTGGCAGCAGAAGGTTTCAACGAAAACTGTTTAGATTGATCAATTAATGCGGTTGAATCAGAAATTATTTTGTTGGTTTGTGTGACGAGGCTGTTGGTGGGATCTCTTTTTTATTTTTGTATAACTACCATCGTCGAGTAATTCTTTAATTTTGTTGTTGTATTCTATTTTATCCATGATGACAGTAGCATTGCCTTTGTCAGCTGAGAGAACTACAATATAATTCCTCTTTTTTAATTTATATAATTCAAAACGCTCATCTTTGCTGAGGTTGCTAGCTGGCATCTTAGCGTTTTTGAGGGTTGCAGCGATTTCAGATCTTGCTACGTCTGCAGCGATGTGACCCAGGCCCCTGAGAGCAACGTCTACTTGGGCAATTATATCATTAACTGGTATGTGTTTAGGTGTGACTGCAAAGTTTAGACCTTTAGCTAAAACGGATTTCAGACCATCGGAAATAGAACTGTTACTGCGATTAATTACGACATTATTAACGTCTAACTTTTTGGTGTGTGGGTCCGGTCTTTTGCTGAAGAGGAGGTTAAATTTGGAAATCAGGTTTTCCTTACATTTGGTCGACATAGTAGCAGCTGAAGAGGCAGTCATATTGTCTACATGTTCCCAATCCGATGTGGACATTATTGCCTTCAATGATAAGTGTGATTTGTAGAGTGTCTTGTCTAACTGATCTAGTTCTGTGTGCATAAGTCTGATTTTTTCTGAGATAAGAGCTAAGCTAGTTTTGAAAAGAATTCGTTTCGCATTAGAAGAAGTTACAGCAGCAGAGGTCAGTGTAAATGCGATTGGTATTACCCCAGAGTCGCGGCATCTCTTCAGGAAGGTGAGAGACTCGATCAGCTGAGCTTTCTTATCCCGGAGTTTGTTGAAGGATCTTAAAGTTATGTGAAAACCCTCCCCGTAGAGGCGATTAAATTTTGATTTAAAGCTTTCGTGACTGCAGTAATTCATATTCTTAGTTTTTTTCGGTAAAGTCACGTTGAAGAGAAACAACAAAATAACAAAATATATATAAAACAATAAAAAATTTTCACGACGTTTCGACCATAACTCAAACGGTCATCATCAGGTGTGTCGGTTTGCATAAATTTATTTTTAAAACGGCACATTTATTTATTTATAAAAAAAAACCGTTGGCGTCACGTGCAGCGATTGGCAGTTTGCCCAGGACTAGTCCATCTATTTTTTTTTTAAAAGAGGAGGGGGGAGACGAAATTTTTTATAATGTATGCTGTCTGAAAGCCACTGTAAGCGTGAACAATCAATCAAGAACTGAAATGATTTATCAAATCTTTCCAATGATTGCTAAGATAGAATCCATCTTCTCGGTTGAAATTGTCTCTGTGCTTGTATATGTGGATAGCCTCATGAACGAATCTCTCATGGAAGCCAGATGGCTTACAAAGAACCTCCGTCTTGGAAAAGTCAATGGCATGTGAGCCTACTGAATTAGAACAGGGGCCTGGGTCACATCGCTGCAGACGTAGCAAGATCTGAAATCGCTGCAACCCTCAAAAACGCTAAGATGCCAGCTAGCAACCTCAGCAAAGATGAGCGTTTTGAATTATATAAATTAAAAAAGAGGAATTATATTGTAGTTCTCTCAGCTGACAAAGGCAATGCTACTGTCATCATGGATAAAATAGAATACAACAACAAAATTAAAGAATTACTCGACGATGGTAGTTATACAAAAATAAAAAAGAGATCCCACCAACAGCCTCGTCACACAAACCAACAAAATAATTTCTGATTCAACCGCATTAATTGATCAATCTAAACAGTTTTCGTTGAAACCTTCTGCTGCCAGGCCACCAAGATTATACGGCTTACCAAAAATACATAAAGTTGATACACCTCTTCGTCCCATAGTCTCTACTATCAGCTCCCCCACCTACAAACTAGCTCGTTTTTTGTCTGAAATCCTGCGTCCTTTCACTGGAAAGACCACCTCTGCGGTACAAAATTCTACTCACCTGATATCAACAATCAAGGGTATTTCCCTGTCCCCAGACGACCTGCTTGTCAGTTTTGATGTAGTTTCCTTATTCACCAAGGTTCCTGTACCTGACACCATTGCAATCATTGAAGACTTGGTTCATCAAGGACTAAACACTGAGGTACCCCCACTGGTGAGACACTGTTTAACCAATACATACTTCACTTGGAATGGAACTTTCTACAAACAAACTGAGGGCACCCCAATGGGCTCCCCCCTTTCTCCAGTTATAGCTAACATTTTCATGGAGAAATTTGAGACTGACGCCATCCAGACTGCCACTCTGCGCCCAACCTTATGGAAGAGGTACGTGGATGACACTTTTGTCATCTGGCCACATGGCCGGCCTGCTCTAGACCAATTCTTCGACCACATCAATTCCATACACCCAGCCATCAGATTTACCATGGAAGTCGAAATAGATGGCAAGATACCTTTTTTGGATGTCCTAATTAAAAAGAGACCTGATGGTTCAATGAGCCACTCTGTCTACAGGAAAGCTACCCATACGGATGCTTATCTGAAACCGGATTCCCACCACCATCCATCACAGAAGAATTCTCTCATCAAGACTCTGTATCATAGAGCCCAATGCATATCCGACCAGGAACACATAAGCAGTGAACTAAAGCACGTACACCAAGCTCTTAGGGCTAATGGTTACTCCGACTATACAATCCGCAAAGCTATCACTCAAACCATGAAGAAGAACCCTCTTGAGGAGCCTTTCAAAACCATCACTTTACCCTACATTGCTGGGATCACAAAAAAGATCTCCAAAATCTTGAATAAACACAAGATCCAGGTCCGTTTCAACACATTACATAAAATCCGTGATCTGGTTCCGTCTGTAAAAGATGTGATTCCGGACATACAATACCCTGGTGTCTACAAACTAAGTTGCCTCTGTGGTAGTAGTTACATTGGAGAAACCAAACGCCATGTCTCGGACCGCATTCGTGAACATAAAGCAGACCTTATACACGGTAGGACCAACACCTCGGCCGTAGCAGATCATTGTTCTAATTCAGTAGGCTCACATGCCATTGACTTTTCCAAGACGGAGGTTCTTTGTAAGCCATCTGGCTTCCATGAGAGATTCGTTCATGAGGCTATCCACATATACAAGCACAGAGACAATTTCAACCGAGAAGATGGATTCTATCTTAGCAATCATTGGAAAGATTTGATAAATCATTTCAGTTCTTGATTGATTGTTCACGCTTACAGTGGCTTTCAGACAGCATACATTATAAAAAATTTCGTCTCCCCCCTCCTCTTTAAAAAAAAATAGATGGACTAGTCCTGGGCAAACTGCCAATCGCTGCGCGTGACGCCAACGTTTTTTTTTATAAATAAATAAATGTGCCGTTTTAAAAATAAATTTATGCAAACCGACACACCTGATGATGACCGTTTGAGTTATGGTCGAAACGTCGTGAAATTTTTTTTATTGTTTTATATATATTTTGTTATTTTGTTGTTTCTCTTCAACGTGACTTTACCGAAAAAACTAAGAATATGAAGTACTGGACGTTGTTGTTTGACTGCACTTCGATGCGTCCCGCGGCTCTGCTCCTCTCCGCCTGCACCGACCCCGCAACCGACCAGCGCAGTGGTGAAGTATTGGTCAAACAAATGTAAAACTAATTTGGTTAGAACTGCTGTTTGTGTTTTGGGTTGTTGTCCTTCCCCACACCTGCCAACCCCTTGTAAGTGCCCTACCTTGTTACACACCAATTCAGACCTTACTGGTCACCCCCGTGCCCCTTATGAATCTCAACGTTCATCCCACAAAGTGCCATCACAAGGGACATGAGAACTCAATTTACCTGCACAAGAATATTGGGCAAACCGTATGGGTTGGCAGCTTCCCCCGCATCTCCGATTTATCACGATGGTTGGCTGCGTACGGCGCGAAAGAAGTCCAACGTCCATACAACCCCCCTCCAACCTCCACGACCCGCACAGCGTGGGGAGGGTCCTCGTCCAGCAGTGGATTGACAAACGGGCCGACGCATGCACAACTGTACCACACAGCTTCAAATCAAGATTGTACCACGCAGCTGCTGCTACAACCCCGAACCCCCGAGCGCTCACCTCGCCGGCCTGGCGGGCCACCTCGAGGGCCGCGTCAAGGCACTCGTCCCACTCGTCCCTCCCGCTCGACTCCGCCATGGTCGCCTCGCCCGGCTTCCTGGGAGGACTCCCCGTGCCGCCCCGAGCCGCCGGGAGGCGTGAGCCGTGGCCCCTGACGCGCCCAAACCCAAAACGGCCATGCTGGGTGGGGGTATCCCGGCGGCCATGCTGTGTAGGGATCATGGTTGGGGAAACGTAAGCAACGGTATAGTCGAGATGTCCCTTTTATTTAAATTTTGATTGAAAACGAATGGTATTGAAAATGTTAAACTTGCGTCAATTATGCAAACTACATAATTTCACTTGGTGTAGTCAGTTGCCTAATATTTTAACTGAAAATGTCCCTTAGTTGACATTAAATTCGGTAGTAGGAAATGAATGGCATTTCATCTGAAGATGTTTATGTAACCCAGTGCTTCGCGGCCGGTGCGCCGCAGCTAAGACGCGTGCCGTTCAGTGAATCAGTGGCCGATCCAGCGCCTCCGCCTCTCCATTAGTTGCACCTACGCAAGCCGGCAGCGGACAGCTGTCAGCCCCCCACCCACGGCCCTCTCAATGCCCTCGGTCGCACATGCCCCAGTTGAGAAAATTAACACCGACAGCCATGGCCACGAAACCACTCACGTCGTTAGGCAATTGTCACGGATTTTGGCAGCGCCAATCGATTTCCTAATTCTCTAGGGAGATAAGCAAGGGATCATTAATTTATCTCGCAGCTACAACGCGTGTTGTGCCAAGATCGAGCAAGCTTGAAAGTTTACCATGGAGTGTCAACAGTTAAGAAGCACAGACATTGTAACCGGCCACGGAACTTGAGTTCAGCTGGGCCTGTTCGGTTCATTGACCCAGAAAATATTTATGAACCGAGCACATCACCTCCAGTGTACATTACGCTATGGTTTACGAATGCTTGTTTCAACTCACACCGGTAGGTTAAGGAACAACCATCAACAAAATTTAATCCTTAGATTTGCGACGTTTAATTAGAAATATCGCCAAATATTATGGAGACGGTCCAGAAAATCAGAACGCAGGAAATCAGAAATAAAGTGGTTCCATCCTTGCCCCCCTTGCTCAATATATCTGCTCCATCCTGGTCAAATAATCTCCAGTTTTAATGATGGCCATCGCTTCATCACCATTGACTCCACGAACCCAACTTCACTGCCCACTCGCAAAATCTTTCCTTGACATGGTCTCATCTTGATTGGTTCGGAATTGGAATGGTTCCTAATTCCTCCACGCATTCACCTACGTCTCCCTTCTCATTTCGCTACCCCATGCGCTCTCCTACCTCCCCTCAAATCTTCCTCCATGCACTCTACTACCTCTCCTCTCATTTATTAAAATCATTACAATATCGGTCACATCGTGGAAACACATAGTTCTTAGCTCGTACACGTCACACAAACAACACAATGAAGAAAACAAGTTTTAAATGATAGCACAAGGGACATCAGTTCACTGTAAGTCGCTACATCTTAAAGCTATTAATAAATCAAAGTTATATTTTAACTTCAAACTGTAATGAACACTATTTACACGATTTATAATTTAAAATCAATAAGACATACATTAATACAACACTAAACACAAGCCCACTTCGCTAACGAGTATGTCACATTCGTCTGCCACAGGGTGTTATTTGCCATATTTGGTAAGGGTTATCAGGTGTCTTGTCTCTGTGCTTGTACTCCTGTTTGGCAAGAGGACTCACGACAAATCAATCGAGAAGTATCTTTTCATCAGCTGCGTAATGCTGTGCGGAAACTACCTGGCCTGTCGCTCCACACGAAGCTTCGGGTTTTCTCGGCCACAATTATTCCCTCCCTTCTCTGTGCTTGTGAAACGTGGACCCCTTTGAACGAACATGTGCCGTTTAGAATTTTTTAGGCTGGCCTGCCCACAATCCATCCTGGGTCTAACTAGACTGGACTATGTGAGCTGACAGATACTCGAGATCTGGACAGCCACATCAGTGAGCTCCTCGCGCAGGTGGGGAGCACAGGTGGTGCATCTGTTAATCATCCGAGTCAACCCATAGCCCCTGGGTCTGTCCTGTAACCTCCTCCCAGCGAGCCTTCGACACTTAACGTGGTCTCAAGACTGTACCTTGCCTGGAACAGGCACCGTGATGTCACCGCAAATTCGTGGAGAACAGCAGTTGTTCTTGTGGGTACGTGAGAAGTGGTGGCACAGAGGTTATCGCACTGCACCTGAAAACTTGAGTTCAATTCAGGATGACGTGTATGGTGCTGATCCCACCACCATCTCCTATGCAGTGCTGGCGCAAATAGCTGCTCGCTAACACTTGCCTTAACAGTTTTTGTTTTTAGAGTGTGCGCATGCATGCGTGTCTCATCGACAAATGGAGCAGAGGTTGGTGCAGTCAATAACACATTAAAACAAAGGCCACAGTCGTGTACGAAGATAACATTACCGACCACAGAGTCCTGCATATAAAGGTAACACAATTGCACAGTCGTGAGCAAGATCAGGGCTCAGTCCGGAGCAATCGCTTCGCTCGGTCACGTGCGATACACGGCTGATCACGTGCGACACACGGCTGGTCACGTGCGATACACGGCTGGTCACGTGCGATACACGGCTGGTCACGTGCGATACACGGCTGGTCACGTGCGATACACGGCGGGTCACGTGCGATACATGGCGGGCCGCGCCAGGGTGGGCGGTGCGGCCAGGGCTTGCGCGGCCAGACGGCGCCGCAACTCCCGCACGTCCCCCAGCAGATCACGCTCCGCGCGCCCAGGGGACGCCAGCCCCGTGTGTGGCCTCACTGCACGGGCACATGTGGGGACACGGGGATCCACACACACACACGGGCACACGTCAGGACACGGGGACCCACACATACACACACACGTGGGGACACGGGACACCCGCGCACACACACACAAGGATAAATGCACACGGGCACATGGACAACAAAACAAAGACACGTACACGGACACACATCGGCGCACACACGCACAGAGACGCACAAGCACAGGCCCGCGGACAGACAAACATAGGCACACATGGGCAGTTCTGCAAATTAGGAGACCTCAGTAAAAATTTACAATTGTCCTACAAATGATTGTAATTTTAAAGGGAATGATATACTATCAATTTCAGCCAATGTCAATCATGGATTTTTTTTAAAACTTATCTCCATCCTGGCCAGTGCGAGTTGGCAAAGGGGGGAGGGGGAATGACTGTTTTGATATCACTAGGCACTGATGTTAGCTGTGGCTGGAAACAAACTTGGGTTTCTGGGTTGATCATGTAGCTTGCTAACCAATGCAACGCCGTTACACCCCCAATGATCTAATATTAGAAAAAAAATGGGGTGGAGCCGTGGAATAGTGATTAACCGCAGTCTGCAATGAACCCATCGACCTGAGTTTGATTCCCAGCCATGGCTAACATCAGTGGCGAGTAATTTCTGAAGCAGTGCTGGGGTTCCCCGCACCTTCACCAACATACACTGACCAGTGTGAAGTACGGTCAAACAATCCCCATGACTGTCATGGAGGCCTTCATCCGGCAGCGGATTGACAAATGGGCTGCGAGTGAACTACGGAATTAGTCAGTGGCGGTCTGCGTAGATACAGACACAGACACGTGTTCATCATCAGTAACGAGCGAACGGTGACGTCGCATACACACTCTGTGGGAGGGCGGCATCCGATCTGGAGGGGTCGTTGAGGCACGTGGGCGGCCGGTTTGGCAATGGCGAGTGCTTGTCCCACAGAGACTCGCTCGTTGCAACCCGGCGTCCGATATCGCCCAGGTAATCTGTGCGACACAACCGGAATTGTGAGATCGGAGTGTTCCTGTCCAGCTGCTCTAGAGGAGGATAACTTATATTCCTATTTTGCCAGCGGGCCACGTTACATCAACATCACAGGTTACATGTACAGACGTCATGACGTCACATGTACAGACGTCATGACGTCACATGGCGCCGTGACATCATAACGCCCATTACATGTGATCACCACTTGTACCTCTTCAATGTTTCACCTCATGTTTATCAATCTTTTACGTCAGTAATCTTTTTATTTTTTCCAGCTCTCTCAGCAGTTCTGTCTATTATTCATCTCATTATTCTCCATCTCTTCATCGAGTCGTATCTCCAAAACCTTCGAGGGTCAGATGTGGCTCGTGGGCCGCCAGTTGAAGAGCCCTGCTATACAGGACGTCTCTTATCCCAGCAGAACGGCCACATCCGCCATACCCTCCGCAGTAAGAAGATAGAGGTCCTGGTGCCCACAGCTGTGGAGCCAGTTGGCTATAGCCGGCCACCGAGGACGCTCACCCATGGGATGGTCGGCACTTTCTTCAGCCACCAGGAGAGCATCGCGAGGGCCCAGCTGGGCCACGTGGTCATGCGAGGGAGGTTCTACCTCCAGGATTTCCCAGCGCCTCCTCACCTCCTCCCACTGCACCCCACAGACCAGGACACGAAGAGCATTGGTGACACCAAAGCAACTACGCGGCGAGCTCCCAAAACAACAGGCGAGCTCCCAAAGCAAGCTGCTGGCAGCTTTTTCAAATCACGTACACGTTCTCGGCACGTGCGGCAAAACGTCGGGACATCGCGCCGAACAACGCGTGGTGCAACCCAAACACACACTGGAAAGCTGCTGCACAGCACAGCCGCGCAAAACCTCCACGGCGCGGTGTGAACAGCGTGACACACGGTGGCTCCGGGAGCTGGGCTCACCCGGTTCTTGTGCAGCGCTTGCGCGGCGTCGAGCAGCTGCCTCTGCTCGTGCCTCGCCGCGCGCTCTCCCTGCTCCACCAGCACGGCCCTCGCCTCCTCCCGCGCAGCGCCCTGGGCGGCACGGCTCGCCAGCTCCCCTCGCCACGCGCCGTCCTGCGCCAGCCCGCTCGCCGTCGCCAGGCTCGTGTGCACAGCCTGCTGTGCAGCGACCGGCACAATGCAATTGGAGTGCGGATTTATGTAGCGTCTACAATTACGCGTTGTACAGCGTCTAAACACGGCCGCATCTCAAGATGCTGTGCGGAAAAGGTGGAAATGTATGTCCTAGAGAGAGGCAGTCGGTCACGGGCCTCTACGTGAAACTGTGGGTTTCTTTGTAAATATATTCACATGTAAGTCTATGTAGGTCTGTGGGTCTTGGTGCAAGTCTGTGTGAGTGTATGGGTCTGCATGTCGTGGCAGTATCCAGAAGCAGTTGGCTTTTTTCAAATTTTCTTGCTGTGGTTTTCACACCGGATGATTGCTTGTGTTGCAGTCGAAACGTCGTGATAATTGTATTGTTTTATATATTTCATTATTTTATTATTTCCCTTCTACGTGACTTTACCGAAAGAAACAAGAATATGAATCCCTGCAGTCACGAAAGCTTTAAATCAAAATTCATGGGCAGTCAAGCCTGGACTTGAACGGAGGCAACGAGTCGACAGCACAGATGGCTGGAGTGAATGGAGTTCCTGACGATGGAGCAGCAGAGGAGAATGAGACATCAAGGAATTGAATGCAAGAACACTGCAATGGGTTTGTTTGAGGATTATTTATGGTGTGGTAATATGTGGGCAACTCAACCTGTCCGGCCGATGTGTTTTTCTCCGAATCCATCGCCGTGCGGCTTCGAGTCAGCGTCTCGTCGACGCCTTCTTCCCCTGCCCGCCGGCGGTGCATGTCCAGTTCACCACGAACCAGCCTGTCCACTGCCTCGTGTTCTTTGGCCAGGTCCTGAGGACCAAGAATGCACACGCCGCATGTGAAGCGTGGAGGCCAACGACCAACTGCTACAGACAGAGCTCTACAGGGACACGAAAACGTCTTCAAGAATATCTCCATCAGCGATGTCTGACACCTTAACTCAGCAAGACCCGGTTGGCTGTCGTGTTTCTGGTCAACGGGCATTCTTGTCAATAAGCAGCTCTTTTCAATCTGTTCTGAATGCATCTCACTCCTATCCTCTTTTTTATCAAATCACTCACCAGCTCAAAGAGCCGCCTCTGGGTCTCCAGCTCCAAACGCCGCACCTCGACCTCCTGGATGGCCGCCTCGGTCTCCTGGTCTCGCAGCCGCGTCTGAAACGGAGGGCAGTACCAATCGCGGCGTGAACAGGCGGGTGAGGTTGGGGAGGGGCCCATGGGGAAACGATGGGGTGGATGACTCATGAGATAGGGAATCCAGTGGTGTAGGGGACCCAGTGGAGTAGGCGTCACATGGGCTAGTGACAGGGTAGGGGACAAAGTGGGGTAGGGGAGCCATGAGATAGGATGGGCCCATGGGGTAGTGTGGACCCAGTGGAGTAAGGCACCAGTGAGGAAGGGGGGGTCCCACGGGGTAAAGATGGGGTAGGGGTCCCCAGGCCCAGGGGTGACAGCAGCGCGCACCGTGTGCTCGATGTGGTGGTCGAGCGCGGCAAGGTCGGTGCGGCGCCGCGCAAGCTGCTGCTGCTCGTGGCGCCGGCGCGTCGCGTCCAGCATGGCCAGCTCCTTCACACGCAGCTCGCGCCGCATCGCCACCAGCCTGCACCAACACAGGGTGCGTGCACCACGCAGCTCACCACCGCGCGCCGCAGAGCCCCCGTGGCCTCCACACGCCGAGTTGCGAGCGTGTGTGGGTCCCCAAGAATGTTCAGGGGTCATGTGGAGACACTTTGGGGTGAGGCACTGACCACGTAAGGACACCTTTGCTAAAATAATTAATGAAAGGGCTGCTTGCGCACTGGCGGACTCGGGAAAGCACGGGATTGGATGAGGACGTGGAAGAGAGAGATTTTGTGGGACAGACGAGGGAGGGAGAGGGGAGAGTTGGAAGACGAGACCAAGGGACAGGATTGCTGGAGAGGAGTGAGAGATTTGAGGAACCTTCGAGAAGGTTTTAGAACAAGGAGGTTATAAAAATGGGGGTGTGATGCATGCTGGGGGTTTTTGGGGAGAATCGGATAGTAAGCTTCCACGGGAGCGCTGTGAGTTGGAACAATAAAAGTTCCCTGACCAAAGACGACTCGTGTACGGTGTGTGAGTATATTGGTTTGATCGTGTGTGTACATGTGCAAGTGTGTAGGTGCTTGTGTTCATGTGTGAGTGTGAGCGTGTAAATGTATGCGAGTAACTGTGTAAGTGGGTAGGTGTTGGTGTGTATGTATATATGTGTGAGTTTGTGTGTTTACAGGTGCTCAGCCTTCATTAGGTGCTCATTAACAGCACTTGCTACAAAAGTATATTAAGGCTATACGGGTGATCTTTGTCTGTGTATACGTGTATGATTTAATTAATTATATTAGTATTTGTGTAATTGCATGTGTAAGCATGTGTGATTGTGTAAGTAAATATTTGTTAATGCTTGCATGCATTCATATGTGAATAAGTGCGAGTTAGCAAGTCGGAGTGCCTCGGTATATTTGTGCGAGTAAGTGTATTATGTATACGTGCAGGTGTGAGCATGCGTATCTGAGTGCGAGGCTAAGGGAGCCATCACCGTGCCCGCTGCTCCACCAGACGCTGCTCCTCAAGCTGCAGCTGCTTGCGCTTTCCCTCCTCGGCGAGCACCAGCTCCGCCTGCTGCTGGCTCCAGGCCTCGTCCACGGCACGGCGACGCTCCGCCTCCCCCGCCAGCTCGTGCAGAACCTGCCTGGCGGCGGCGAATCGAGCACACGTCACTGGTAGTTACCATCGTGACGGTAACTACCGGACAATCGTCACTCCAATCACCGCCACAGCCATCACAAGGCACCTCCCTCCACCTCCTCCGCCAGTTCGCGGAGAGCATGCGCCGGCCAGAGCGACTAGCATATACGTCACCGAGTCACCCACGCAGTCACCGCCCACAGTTATTCTTACAACCACCACTCATTATGACATTCACCCCCACAATCATACCCAATCACCCCGACTAATGGTGCATCACAAAAGTAACAACTGTATGTGTGGATACCAGCTATACAACACTGCTTTGTGAATAATACTGTCAAGAGAATCGCCACCGACTGAGGTTCCTCCTGCCAACACCGTGAAGCTCTTGCACATCTCATCGTGGCTACCACCTATAACATTACGGCGGCTGGAGATGGGGGGAGACGGAGGAGATAGAGGTGACTCACTTCTCCCGCAAGTACTCCAGCTCCTGAGCGCAGATGCGGTCGCGCTCCCGAGCGTGGAACTGCACCACGCTCTCGGGGTACTTGTTGAACACTGGGTAGAGGCCGCGCGGGAGCGGCTGGAACTGCTCCTCGGCGGCGGGGCCTGGCTGCGCGTCCTGGGGTGCCGTGTCCAGCAGCCGCTGGGCCTCGCGCAGCAAGCGCCCAACGTCCACGCCACCACGGTGGTGGAAGAAGAACTGAGCAGAGGACGGTGACGGGGAGAGCGTGCGCGTGAGAGTGTGTATATGTGTGTGCGAGTGTAGTCTTCATAGGTGCTCACTAACAGCATTTGCCCCAACAGTCTGTTAAGGGTATACGGGGGAGTTTTGTCGTGTGTGTGTGTGTGTGTGAATGAGCGGATGCACTGCGCTACGAACCAGGCAGCCATTCGATTCCCGCTCATGGTGAATATTTGAACCGGTCCTGTGCCTCCTCGAGGTCGATTCAACTTTAAAATGTAAACATAAAAGGCGTGGTGCTGGCTACCCAACCCCTTTATATGTGCTCGCTAACAGCACTCGCCCCAATAAAATAGAATCTGTAATAGGGCGGATCTTTGCCTTTTGAGCGAGTGTGAGAGGGTGCGTGCGTATCGCGTGTGAACGTGCAAGCGTGCACGTGTCCTTCCGCACGCGTGAGAAATGGGTGCACGAGCGCGCGAGTGTGTGAGCACGCTTGTCATGGTGCTAGAGCGTGCGAGCGACCCTTCACCTGGAAGTCCTCGAGCTGCGTGAGGCGGAGCAGGGCCCCGCGTGCGCAGGACGAGTAGGCGGCGGCAACGGCCGGAAGGAACGCGGGTGGCCGCGAGAGCACCCAGTCGAAGAGCCGCAGCCACTCGTCCCTCGTGAGCACCTCCGAGAAGAGCGTCTCCAGCAGCGGCCATGCGTACACCTACCGAACAAAGACAAAGATCCCCCGTATAGCCTTGGACAGACCTTTGAGGTGAAGTGCTGCTACGTATGTATGTTGAGCTTCTTTTGCACCGTACGCAGCCAACCGTACTAATCGGAGGTGCGTGTTAGCGAGCGCTTACAAAGATTGGCAAGGCATAAGAGGGGGAAGGGTGGCCAGCAGCACATCCGGCTGCCTTTGTCTCCCCAAATGCTGATATTTACAAACTGCACCAGGTACTCATTTGAGGCCGAGTTGACCAAGGGTAGGCACAGGATTAGTTCAGATATCCGTCACCAATGTTCGCTGTGAGCGCGAACAGGACTCGGGTTGCCAGGTCCATAGAGCAGTGCGCTAACCGCTGCGACACTGCTACTCCACACCTACCACACACGCAGACTGCACACACGCAGATTCAAGGGACTGCACGGCCTAGCGAACACAGAACGATGCATCGAGTTACCGATTATTTTGCTCAAAACGCATGCCACAAATAGCGCGATAATTATTTTCTATGTTTAGGTGGCAGGGTTTGCCCAACTCCAGTGGTCATGGCCCATCACCACGCTACATCTTTCTGCGTTTACCAATTTACTCCTCCCATTCAAATACTATCTCATTCCACGCTGCACACACCCGATGATTATTAATCACGTCCCACATGACGCGCCAAGCGATCAATGCTGTCTGCGTCACGTGGAACACGTGCATGCATGCACTGGAGATGCGTACGCACATGCGCACACTTGATTTGAATCGGCTCTATTAACGCAGACGGTGATGACGTTTGCACCTGCGCGGTGACTCCGTGCTCCACGAAGTGCTGCAGCAGCTGGTGGTCGTGGTGCGCCAGTGCGTTCTCCACGCACGCCAGCACGTTCAGAGGGGGGTTCGGGAAATACTCAAACCAGCGGCTGCACCAGTTCACTGCAGCGCGCCACGGTGCGACACAAAGACAAAGATCCTCTGTGTAGCCTTTAACAGACTGTTGGGGCAAGGGTGATTTGTGAGCACCTTTGAAGGCCAGCAAGGCACATGAGATGAATAGGTGGTGTCTGATTAGCTATGTTAATTGTGTGACTGGGTAGCTGGGTAACTGAATGGCTGGTTAACGATGTGATTGGGTGGCTGGCTTGCTAAAATAACGGCTGTTTGTGCAACTGCATGAAATGTCGTTAGCTCACCGAGCACTGTAGCGAGGACCTCAAAGCAAACGAGCTGGTTGTTCTGGAAGAGCTTGACGAAGGGAAAAGCGAGGAGAGGGAGGAACTCTGTTTCTCCAAAAATGGGCGCCCAGTGCGCCAGTGCCGACAGGGTCCTGCTCACAGATACAAACAAAGATCCCCCATGTAGCCTTTAACAGACTGTCGGGGCAAGTGCTGTAAGCGCGCACCTATGAAGGCCGGTACGACAGACGAGACGCCCTCGTGGTGATTTTGACACACCACACCAGAAACTGTACTCATTTGTGGCTGAGTCGACCAAGCAGAGGCCATGAGTGGGAATCGAACTCGGATGGCTACGTTCATAACGCACGTAATGAACGCATGCACATGAGTAACCCGCTAGATTCCACCTTCTGAAAATCATCAGCATTCTGCAGCTACACTCAAATAACATGCTCATACACACCAGGTGTGAATCCACAACCACTATGGTTTTACCAGCAGTGTCAAACACAGCACAGACAAAGTTAATGTGCCTAGTCCACTGGTATTAATCTACCACTGTACCAGTCAGTCATGGGGTGGAGTGGTGGTAGAGTGGCGAGCCCACTGTGCTATGAACTCGACGAACCACGTTCCATTCCCGGCTGTGGCCAACATCAGTGGAGGGTAACGTTTTATCTTCACTGGTCCTGTGAATGAAAGTAAATTTAAGCCAGTCATAATCCAAACATGCATGCCGCTGTTTGCCACCGGTGAGTGGGACGCACCTCTGCAGGCCACGCAGCAGCTTATGCGAGCGCACGGGGTAGTGCCGGTGCAGGGCGCCGTACGCGGGGTGCGTGCCCTTCTCCACCAGCGTGTTGTACACATCATGGTTCTCCGGCAGCCGCAGCAGCGCACGCCAGATGAACAACCTGCGCCGGCCACATCGACAAAAGCATCATCATCACGAGCACCTCATCCAGCAGGCGATTGACAAAGGACTCTATGTGATGTCTCAAGACACACAAGATCATGTTAAATACAACTGATATTTAGAACGAGTTGATAACGTAAAAAATAATTCGGAGCACAGATAATGAATAACGATGAAGGGCAGAGGTAACAACCCTGACCTGTACTTAGCCGGGTACTCCCCAAATCCCTTGAGCAGTGCGAGCAGGCGTCTCCGATCCAGCACTTCCTCTCCCTGCCCCTCCACCTGCTCCTCCCCATGCTGGTGCCCACCTCCTCCTCGATCCGCTCGCGTGCCCACGGCCTCCCCGCGTACCCGGGAGGGCCGCCGCACTTTTCCGGAGCCGACGCGCCGTGTAGGAGGGGCGGCACCGGCGGGCATCGCCTTCCCGCGCGACTTCGATTCCTGCACCACCCTGACGAGTGACGGAGGCGGCTGCACGCAGATAGAACCGAGATGGCGCCGTCAGCCGATGCCCCACCTGCCCGTCCACACCCTGCTCACCACTAGGGTTGCCACGATGTCGTTTTTCCAATGCGATGCTTTTCCAGGTTGCACCGCATGTTGCCCAGCATGATGTCTGATATTTCAGTGCATGTACTGGGAGCTCCTTATAGAACGGGACTAAAGTATTCAGTTCGAGGTTGTACTGTGTTTTGGAAGCAGCAGGATAATACTGGTTTCATCCTTGTTAGGAATCATCAGCACATAATTGCTGACTACTACGGCTGCCTTGTGCCACAGGAGCTTTACGTGGAGAAGCCCTTGCTTCCCCACGTAATGCGAGGACAGTTTGGCACTGCCTACGGGTGACAAGAAACCGATTATAACGCTTTCCATAATTGATGAGAAAGTCATCAGTTACATCGTGCATGCTGCTGTATAATTTAATAAGGCCACAATTATCCATAATACAGGTTTTTTTGGGTTACATCACATGAATATAAATGTGTCGTTAAAACCACCACCACCACCAAATAAGTAAGGTTTGTCACATAAACATAACATGCTAATTCATTACTAGTACAGCACACCAGTGTGTTGGAGAGTAAATCCACAACATTTACAATCAGAGTACATTTCGCCAATAATTACAACTAACATCCTCAGGCAACAGCCAGATTTGTGGAGAAATCATCCTTTTTCGTTCCAAAACCTATATTGTACATAATATTGGCCGCGAAAGCCTACGTGTTAAAAAGGCCATAATTGTGAGTTCTGGTGGACCGAAACAAGGTTAATACATGCATGCAGCATGGCTTTGTATGTCATGTGACATGCAAGGCATGGTGGGAGGACTGAATCAGGGGTTACCATCATACCTTTTGCCATCTATAAGTCACATTGTGGATGTAGTTTTACACGTGGGAGTGGAAGGCTATGAATCCCGCGTTCAGCCAAGGTCAACATCAGTAGTGGATGAAATCTGAACCAGTCCTGGGTGCTTCATCAACGCGCACCGACCAGGATTGTAAAGCACAGTCAAAGCAAACTGTCAAAACTGATACCGTGGGAAGGCCTTCATCCAGCAGTGCATTGACAACGGGCTGCACTCGTATCAACACTCTTGTTTCCACACTGCACGCAATTTTCTGTCGGATGAGTGTCTCAGCGTTTACAAGGAGTGTTGGAATTGGGTTATCGTTACGCCCTGTGTGTGTGTGTGCGTCTCCTGTGAGCCCGCGTCCACGTGCCTGCTTGAGCGCGTGGGTTAGCGCCGCGACGCTGTACAGGGTCATCGCGCCGTCCTCGCCGAGTCCCAGCACGTTCCTGCCAGCCGGGCACACCACCAGCGAGCTCAGGGCGCCATCCCCACTGCCGCTGCCACTGCCCAGCGAGAAAAGCAGCTGCGTCGTCCCTACGTGCACGAAGCGTGCCACGCCGTCCTGCGCCAGCACGCCCAGCACCTGCCGGGCGGGAGGGGGGTGAGCCACAAGGAGAAGGAGTCTCGGTGAAAAATTTGCTTCCAAAACAATTTACCTCCCAAGCGTGGTAGGTCGCTCCTCCTCCTGTGCTTCTGCGGGCCTCGTGTGCCCCACCTGGTTGGCCCCGCCGTCGAAAGCGTCGCTCAGGTAGTGCAGTTGGCGCACGGCGCGCACCGCTGGGGGCATCTGCAGCACGGAGACGAGACGGCGCGACTCCAGCGCCCACACGTGCACGCAGCCCGAGCGGCCCCCGCATGCCAGCGTCCGCCCGTCCCTGCGAGTACAGCAGCGTTATTTTCGTTTTAGAAATCATTCTGCAACGAAGTGATTTATATTTTAGATGATAACGAGTGGGTGAAAATCATCAAGCGTGACGATGACCAGACAAAATTAACAAGGCTGAACGAATACGCAGATTAAGATAATTTAGTTAACACGTAGGCTTTAGCGACCAATATCATGAAAAATACAGGTTTTTGGGTTATATCACGTAAATATGTATATATAAATGTGTCGTTAAAGTGGGGGAAGGTGGGTTGGCGTGGTAACCTCGTGGCCGCGAAGACACGGTAGGCGAGTCGCGCGCTCGTGGGGGGCACTGGGAGCTGGAAGCGGCATTCGAGCGATTCGCCGTCCCAGCCGAACACGGAGCCGTCCTTGAAACAGCTCACGATGGTGTTGCTCATTGGCAGGAAGAACACCTGGCGCGGCGTCACACACACACAAGCACATGCTCACGAAGGCGACGGGGGTTACAGTGGAATGGCACGGTTGGCATGGGCCCTGGTGCAAGGAATGATGAGAACGTTGATGATTTTATCCATCTAAGTCCATTTATTGGAAAGTATATTTCCATCTTACTTGAGCAGTTGTAATCAAAGAGGTCCCTTGATGTTGTAAACAGTGGCATAACATGGTTGGCATGGGTCCTGGTGAAATTAATTGAATGGACCCTCCCCCGTCCCATTTCCCTTCATCTTGATACTGTCTGTATGTATATATGTTGAACTTCTTTCGCACCATACGTGCCAACCGTGTCAGTCTCGTTTGTTCTATAACATTCAACGAGACCATTAGCATAGAGAGGACAACAATCAGCTCCCACACACATAGTTTTATACTTGTATCGTGAGCAAAAGGATCGATATTTGATCCAGAAAACATTACAAACCTGGGCTGCAGGGTGTAGTCCGAGGCTACGAGGTGACGTGAGCACTACCTTCTGCACGGCGTCGTTGTTGCGGAGGCTGAGACGCCGGCGCCGCTGGAAGGTGTCGAGGTCCCAGAGCTGAGCGGTGTCTCCGGACGTGGTGAGCGCCAGCCGCCCGGATGCGTGCACCGAGATGCAACTCACCGCCGAGTTGTGCCCGCGCATCCAGCTCACCAGCTCGCTCGTCTCTTGAGTGCGCGCAAGCGTTTACACAAACGCATCGCTTTCACGCATCGGTTTTCGCAGGCACTCGTAATCCAATACCTCTTTCCCCTTGACACAAATTAGCCTTGCCAGAGCGTGGCCATCACATGAAGTTTTCCACTGGCTATTTGGTGAGATAAGCCAGGACTAAACCGTCAAAATCTGGCCTAACAAAGTATCGGAATCTGGTGTTGCGTGGGGTTAATAGTATTCGCCGTATGTTGCGTCATTGAGTACACAGTGGTTCTGCAGTGGGAAAATAATCTGGCTGCTGTATCAGGCTGGCTCGGCACTACCCTGGCACACCTCGTTTGTATAGTGGAAAAGAGGTAAAAGTGTGGTCTTCCAGGTCAAGCCACGTGTTGAGCAATCCGTCTCCTGGGCTTTCACCACCACACACCATCGCGTCTTCAGGAGTTGCAATTAGGGATATTAAGGGTCGTGACCGTGTGAGAATTTCGGAGCAACTGTGTGAAACCCTACGTTATGGACAGCAGAGGGCGGTGCAGCGAAACAATCATTGTGCTCCCACGTCTACGCTCTCCGCCTTCAGCAAACCGGAATAATTAGCTTGGCGAATAATCGTCAAATAACCCCCGTTGACCTGCACGGCAGGGGTAGGCCTTCATCCAGCAGTGGATTGACAAAAAGGCTGTGCGCGAACAGGTACATGTGTGGAAGACTCTCAGTGAAGCTGCTATCCAGTAGGAGGGCTACCCAACACCATATTTGTTTACCCGTATTCTTGTACAGGGAAATTGTGTTTTTAGGTCCATACGGCATAGAGCCGTTTCAAGACGGGAAATTTGTTTTTGTCTATTTCTTCGTGTTTCTCCCTTGTGATGGGACGTTGTAGGATGAACGTTGAGATTTACAAGGGCACGGGGGTAACCAATACGGTCTGAATTGGTCTGTAACAAGGTAGGCACTGATAAGGGGTTGACAGGTATGCGACACTCGGGCGAATGCACGCGCGGACGATGGTGCGGCGCGGCGCTCACCGGCATCGAAGCACTTGATGGAGTAGTCCGACAGCGCCACGAGGAACTCGCTGCGCCGGCGCAGACAGAACGCCAGCGCTGTGCACGCCAGCCCTGTCCGCTGCACCAGGCGGAACCTGCGCATCACGCGACAAATGTGGCGCCAGGTCATTCACAAAAATCAAAGCCAACACACGACCAGACCAGCTTTACCTCGTCTCTTCTCCCGCTCGTATTATAAATTGTTTTAATGGCATCATGTGACGGGTTGGAGAATTAATCTGGAAACCTCACAGCGCAGTGCGAGCCTTCGTGTTAGAGGATGACCCATGGAAGCAGATACCACATAACTACCTCTGAGAGATCCCTTCAAGTAGGAGATAGCATTTCACACATGCCCTGCCACGAACAGCAACGTGTCACAAAAACACAAAATGTAATGACGGGTAGTTGTCCGCTCATCTGTGCCACTGCTCACGAGTTGCGTGTGAGGTCGAGGAGGTAGACGTGGCCCTGGTGGTCACCAGCGACGAAGGCCTCGCCCGTGGAGTCGAACGCGGCGTGGAGGAACCTCACGGTGCGCGAGTGAGAGCCCTCGACCGAGCGCAGCACCCGCAGCACCGACCTGCGCCGCACCACGCAAAGTGGCACGCCGGACAAAGCACGGTGGCACACCGCTGCCGGTTACGGCACATGGACCAACCTCCTCACCTCACACCATCCCATCATCTCACACCTCCTCACATTTCACATTACCTCCTCACCTCACATCCGCTCCTCAGCTCAATCACACACCACTTCCTCAGCTCACATCAAGATCTCCTCCTCATACCACCTCTTTATCTCACATCTCACTTCACACCACCTCACAACAGCTTATCACCTCATATCAAGACCTCCTCCTCACACCTGCCTCATACCACCTGTTTACCTCACACCTTCTTGCCTCTACCCCTAATGCTAACCTCGTCTCTCTCTCATACAGGGTTGCCACCTTCTCCACAGAGCAAGCCCACACATATTACTCAGTCACCATTAGGTCAGGTCTCCTGTCAGAGCCTGTGCACTTTCACTGTAATAAAGTAACTCGTACAAGATATCGGTATGAATCAGGCGCGCGACCGCCTCCCCCCTCTCCTCCCACAGACCCCGGCCTGCCCGGGTGACAGCCCGACAGGGAGGGCGACCGACTCACCCGTCCGCAGCCGGGGCCGCTCTCCGGTGCCACAGGAGGCCGCGCTCCCTGCTCCCGAGATCCGCGCTCTGCATGGCGCCTCCTCCTCCTCGTCGGTCTCTTGCCTTGCTCGCCCCTTGTTCTTCTCGTCTTCTTTACCTCGTTCTCCTTCCTCGTCCCTGTTATCTCATCCTCCTCCTCCTTCTCTCTCTCCCCTCCTCCGTCTGCCCCTCGCGTCTTCTTCAGAAGTCGCGCGAAATCTTCAAACGGCGGCGGGACGGAGCGATAAAGTTATTCCAACGTCACGTGAGCGGCGCGACCAATAAAGTTAATTCCATTTCCGAGGTGGGGATATCGCGCGACCAATAAAGTTAATTCAATTTCCGAAGTGGGGATATCGGCGCGATCAATAAAGTTTATACCATTTCCGAGGTGGTGATATCGGCGCGGCCAATAAAGTTAATTCCATTTCCGAGGTGGGGATATCGGCGCGATCAATAAAGTTTATACCATTTCCGAGGTGGGGATATCGGCGCGACCAATAAAGTTAATTCCATTTCCGAGGTGGGGGATAGCAGCGCGATCAATAAAGTTCATTCCTATTCTTAGCTCTTTCGGTAAAGTCACGTTGAAGGGAAACAATAAAAAAAATATAAAACAATAAAAATTCTCACGACGTTTCGACCATAACACATAACGGTCGTCATTATTGTTTTATATATATTTTATTGTTTCCCTTCAACGTGACTTTACCGAAAGAGCTAAGAATAGGAATTACTGCAGTCACGAAAGCTTTAAATCAAAATTTAAATTCTAGATTTAAAGCTTTCGTGACTGCTAGGATCCATACTCTTTGGTTCTATTGGGTAAAGTCACGTAGGTGAAAATAAAATAACAAAAAATCACGACGTTTCGGCCACAACACAAGCGGCCTTCATCAGGTGAAGGGACGAGACTGTCTGGAGGACAGCGCTGGAGTGGAAGAAGCCACGCTTAGATCACGACCTTTAAGCTGTGTGAGAAGAAAAAGACCACGCGCCTTGACAAAGGAATTAGCATATAATTTAGCATTGAAATGGCTCATTGAAATAGCTAAGTTAAAGTATACACATCCGCAGAGGTACCCCTTGACAAAGGAATTAGCGCAAAATTTAAAGTTCATTCCATTTACGAGGGGGATAGCAGCGCAACTAATAAAGTTCATTCCATTGCCGAGGTGGGGATAGCAGCGCGACCAATAAAGTTCATTCAAATCCCGCATCCCCCAGCGGTGGAACCAACAAAGTTAATCCGATGGACTAAAATCCCTGCCACCCGTTCTGAATCGAGGTCCCCGCACGCGGCTCCCCCGCCAGTTGTTTTCCCACAGCGCACCCCAGGCCAACTGGCGGCCTGATTGACGCCTTAATCGTGCAACAGGCGTAGAGGGGACGCCGCCCGTCTGGTTCCTCGGTGCTCTGAAGAAGGGTCGTTGCGCGGAACGTTGCATATTAAGACCACAGTGGTGGTGATTTTGGAATATGTTGAAGTTTTCGGTGCTCTTTGCGCACCAATGCCAACGCAGCGGCAGGTGTCACGGTGGCCCTCCGTCAGGTCGATTGTGGGTGCGTGGACCATCCAGATTATAGAAACCCCGCTGTCTTGTACGCTCCTTCAACGGAAAAACGGCACAAACCACACGGGCTCCCTGCTCAAGCGGCATTGCCATTCATCCCCTGCATACACAACGAACATTCACATGAGACGCAATAGAAACGGTTGGTGGCGAGGCTGGGGGATTAACGAATCGCGTTCCGCGAGAACTTCTCCGCGCGCGAGGCCCCGTCGCGGCGACGTCACGCGTGGTGACTCCGCCCCCTTCTTTGCCCCCTCCCCTCTGTCATGGCCGCGTGCGAGGAGCAGCAGATGGGGGACGCGGCGCCGAGGCTGCCGCTCTACCGCCGCGCCGACGTGAAGCTCCACAACGACACGGCGAGCGGCACCTGGATCATCCTGCACGACTCCGTCTACGACGTCAGCTCCTTCCTCGACCAGGTGAGGCGCGTGCGGGGTGGTGAGGAAGGCTGCGAGCGGGCGGGGGTCCTCCCGCGTCCAAAGCGCGCGGCGCGACCCAGGGCGGTGTCAGTCGCGAGGGGATCTCAGAATACAGGGGTCTCTCCTGAGCCCAGGGGTCTCTCCTTAACCCAGGGATCTGACCTGAACCCAGGGGTCTCTCCTGAACCCAGGGGTCTCTCCTGAACCCAGGGGTCTCTCATGAACCCAGGGGTCTCTCCTGAACCCAGGGGTCTCTCCTGAACCCAGGGGTCTCTCCTGAACCCAGGGGTCTCTCCTGAACCCAGGGGTCTCTCCTTAACCCAGGGGTCTCTCCTGAACCCAGGGGTCTCTCCTGAACCCAGGGGTCTCTCCTGAACCCAGGGGTCTCTCCTGAACCCAGGGGTCTCTCCTGAACCCAGGGGATCTCAGTATACAGGGGTCTCTCCTGAACCCAGGGGTCTCTCCTGAACCCAGGGGTCTCTCCTGAACCCAGGGGTCTCTCCTGAACCCAGGGGTCTCTCCTGAACCCAGGGGTCTCTCCTGAACCCAGGAGTCTCTCCTGAACCCAGGGGTCTCTCCTGAACCCAGGGGTCTCTCCTGAACCCAGGGGTCTCTCCTGAACCCAGGGGTCTCTCCTGAACCCAGGGGTCTCTCCTGAACCCAGGGGTCTCTCTTGAACCCAGGGGTCTCTCCTGAACCCAGGGGTCTCCACACAGTGAGGGGTTTTCTCGCACATGTGCCTCTAGAATTGATGGATTCCAGAGATCAGCGGTCTCCCTTGGCGGTTTCCACACACAGGGGGTCTCTGTACAGCGGTCTCCTTAAGCAGGGGGTTTCTGTATGCAGGCGTTGTAGAGCTCGTGAGTTATATTTGACAGGGATCTTAGAGTAGACGGGTCTCCCTACACAGGGGTCACGACACACAGAGGGGCCCCCCGACCTACAGGGGCTCCAAGACCCAAAGCCCAGGGAGGGTCTCTTTATACACGAGGACGTCCATCCAGGGGTCCCTTCCGCAAGATCTGGGTTCCCCCAGCTCGTATACAAATTCGTATTTAAGGGTTTTCTTACCCTAGAGTCTAGGTGTTTTGTCTGCCAGAGGGTCCCCTTACTCCAGAGAGGAGCCAAGTACTCCGCTACCTTAAATAAAAATCCAGGGATCTGGGGTCCTCTGACCCAGAGGAGTGTGTCACTGCACAACGGCAGTGATTAAGGGACTCCCACCTCCCACCCACCAATTCCGCGCAGCACCCAGGCGGGGAGGAGGTTCTCCTGGAGCAGGCGGGAGGAGACGGAACCGAGTCTTTCGAGGACGTGGGTCACTCGCGGGACGCGCGGGAGCTCCTGCCGCAGTACCTCGTCGGGCACCTTCACCCGGTACGTGGGGGCCTGGCACGGGGAGTGGACGGGTCCAGCGGTCACTGTTGACACTGGAACAGTTGCGTAACGGTGCAACTAAAGAGGTGGGGTTCCAGACTATGGGAGGCAGCAAAGGAGAATGAATGGGGGAGGGGGGGTAATGCCTGAGGTTAACCAAGGTTCAGAGGTGATGGCGCAGTGCTGATACTAAAGCAGCCCACTGGGCAAGCAATTACTTGCTCGTACTGTAGGAAAGGGCCCTATGCTCAACCGAACTCTGGAGGTATTCGGTCTACTCTACTTGAATCGAGGTCGCAACTTTTACCGATTGCAACACCGGTGCATTTCCACCCAGGGTGCGACCGACTCGCGCGAGTGATGGCGCATGGGGGGTGGCAGAAGGGGTGATGAGTCTGGTAATCGGAACCCACAGGGAGCTTGAACAGTCGGGAGAACCCTGACGGCAGAGGGGAAGGGCCGGGGTGGTCACGCGCGCTCTGTCGCATTGCTGCAACGCGTGAAGCGCAGCCATTCATGATTTGACACGAGAAACCACCCCTGTGACTTCTGAGTGATGCAACCTCAAATGAATTGTGGGTCTCTGACTCAGCGGGAAATGTGAATTCCTCTTTATTTTAGTTTAAAAGTTTATCCCAATTGCATTGCCAGCATAATTTTTGAGACAATTATAGTGTACTGCTTGCACATCAGCGTAAACCTCTGTTAAAGAACACTTCTTGGAAGCAGATATCACAATGCTATGAGATCACTTCAAGTGATATCTGCTCCATACACTGGGGAGCAGCAATTTCCCACGAGGTCTGCATATGAGACTTAAGTGTTCGTTGCATAACAGGAAAACTGATATTTGTATTCTCAGGGCTGTAATTAAGCCAGATAAAGTACAGATCGAAATTTAATGAGAGGTTTTTTTTCGTTCAGTAATTGGCGACTGGGGTGAGCTGTTTCCCAGATGTCCTGCTACAGTTTTTATTACAAAAAAAAACCTAATTGAATGTGTTGGGTTTTGTGTGTGCAGTCATTGGTGGCATAGCCGAGGCTATCAAGTTACTCCTGAATAAACAGGATTACGAATAACAGCACTTGAGAAGCCGGTTTAATCACCTGTGGTAGATTCCAACCCAGGCTCAGCGGTGCCATCTATGACCTCTGAGCCGCCCGAGATCTTGCTGAGGGACCCTTTGTGAAAGGGTTACAGTTATTACAATAAGTGGAAACATTAGCCCACTGACACCCCAACCAAGGCATTAGATTTCGCTTCACGGAAACTGGAGTGGATCCTGCAAGGGGGGGCAGTCTAGCACCGGGCGTGGTTTTGGTTCCCTACCACCTCCTACACGCTCCTGTCCCCACCCGGCCCCCACCAACCACGACGCCCGAGCACAGGCCACCTTCCGCTCGCGGCGATGCAGGGGGTGATCACTTAAAGACGTGATATTTAAACCGTACATGCTGATGTGAGCTCTGTCTCTTTCCAGGACGAGAGGAAAAATACAGAAACCAAGGTACGTATAACGGCCTGGTTCTGCACTCGCCTTCATGTTAATGAAAACAAGAATATGCTTACCAGTGACTGTTTGAAGCTAAGCAGTACTGAGCCTGGTTAGGACTTGGATGGGGACTACCTGGGAATACCAGCTGTTGCATTGCTTGGGCAGTGAGGTGGCCAGAAGATGACCCACCAGCAATGGATTCTTTCATCCGAGCCTTGAATGTTGCGTTTTCCCCTAGGAATCCTAGTGTCCTCCCACACTAAAGCAAACGCTCATTAACGGAATTTACTGAATATCCTGAAGCAGGATGCTTCTGAAAATAAGTCTTGAGACTCATTGAGATTTTACTGAGTAAATAAAGCACATTGTTCATAATTATGAATTATAATTGAATTATGGTTATTAACGAAGCGCGCTGTGTTACGAGCGCAGTAGCTTGGCTGTGAATCCTTGCGAGGTTCTTGGCTGTATTGTGGTGGCCCCACCACAGCCAATGATGCTACCGGGACCAATGCTGTAAAGTGGTAAGATGCAGCCACTGAAATTTATAGTTGGTCATGCGATGCTGACAGTCACCCCCATCTTTTCCAGGACATATTCATCACTACGACAGGCGGGCTGAAAGCAGGGTACGAGTCCCACACCACCCCATGTGCCACTCACCACTATTTTTCCAAACGGTGAGGCTTCGTCATTGTGCCAGTGGGTTGACAAAGCAGTCTCTCCTGACCCCTTCCGACTCTGTGACCAGGTCGTGGACAAACTGGCTGGTACCAGTGGTGAGCATCTTCGTCATACTCGTCATGTACCACTTCTACCTGGCCGACCCCGGCAAGGACCTCTGAGGTGGCCTCCGGAAGACGTGACCGCTTCAAGGGAAATGGCGTTTTGTACATTCCTTCTGCCGGCCCTTGCTACTGTGTCCACTCTGTATGAGGCTGTGCTCGTAGCAGCGTAACTCTGCGCAAGCTCTAGTGTTGGCAGAATTGGTGTCTGCTTGTTTGTTTCGTTTGTCGTAAGTGTACATCGGTCGCTCGAGTGTGCGAGTGGCGCGTGTCGAGTCCTGCAGCAGCTTGAACTGAATTAATTCTGTCCCAGGGTAATTTTTTGCGTGTAAACCCTGACATTTAATAGCCATGTTAATGCGAACTCGGAGCTGTGTAACCATCCCACCTCCCCTTGCGATTTAATCCTCATGATTAGGCTAGGTAACTGTCGGTACTTCTACAAATCAATGCACATGTGAGAAAATCAATTGATTTTGAAATCTGCATCATTGCATTCCTGACGCATACTACCTGCACAGACATCGGCTACTGGTTGAGATCACCAGTTTCTGCAATTCGGAATGACGTTCGATTTGTGCGGTTTATAGAGAGCCGAGTGATGGTGGTCGGGTTGGGGAGAGGCGATGGATGAAAGCCTTCGGTGAGCGCGGGATGAGAACCCTCTGGACTCCGGTTACAATGTGAAATTCCACAACTGTAATCGATTGCTCGGGCTTCCGTGTCCCTCCTGCGGTAGGTGTTCACAATGCTGCTGTGTAGCTCCGATGTGTTCATGGGCTGCATTGTGCGTCGGTCGGCACGGTTTCCCAACGTATTGCTCCGCGTGCTGGGAGCTGCTCCTGCACGTGGGCGAAACGTCGGACACGATGCCGAACGTGCAGTACCACCCGAAAACACATTGGAGAGTTTGTCTCTCTGTTGGTGGTTGTGCCTTCCCGCTTCGCCGCAAATGCCAGGGTGTTGTCACTTCACACCGACCGTCTTCTTCTCACCCTCCTAATCAAGGGCCATTATTTTAAAACAATCTTTGTGCATCACTGTAGTGTCATATCTGTATACTGTTTGTGCAAGCCGAAGGGATTTGATATTTAAGTAAACATGAAATAAACATGCTTGCCTGACACTGGACGCCAATCCCTCTGCTTCTCTTCCGGCTCGACGGAGGGCTGTGTGCAAGCATTACCCCGGCCTTGTGTTGTGACCCTCTGTGGTGCATCAACAATAGTGTGACCTAAGAAGATAATATATATCTCTCAAGGTGACGTTTTGGGCAATGGCCCTTCATGGCACCAGAACGAAGGGAGATGGAGCAAATAAGAGTTGAAGACTGCACAATGTGCTGCCTTGATATAAAAAAAAACCGGGTTACAAATATTTCCAGAGTCTAAAATTTGGCATATCAACGGTTAATACCGCCACCATGCAAGGATTAATTATCCTCCACTTCGGTTGCATCACTTGCAGGATTTAAAGGGCATTCTTGTGATCGTGTAATTTCTATGTGATTCAACGAATTGGCTTGTTCTTTTGCCAATTAAATGCGTACAAAATTGTCACTCCACTCCTGTGCATGCTGTGTGGGTCGTGGGGACGATTTTTTTACGTTGGTCAGCGCAGGTGGGCAGCTTAAACGCGAGCACAAGTACAAGACAAAGGATTTTGCTGTCCACGAATCCCCGCAGCACCTGTTATGCATGGTCACTCATCCATGTACAATTAAGCAGAGGAAGATGCGTTGGTTTAGAACAAATTGTAGCTGTTATGCACTGAGTGTCAACCTGGATCAAAGTCCCTTGGCTTTGAAACAAATACCTGCTGTTGTTTTGCTGGCGGATGTGCACGCGAGTGCCACTCGGTACCAATCGTGGCGTACAAAAGCCCCCCAATATAAACACGGAGCTCCACAAAACACTTTGATATTCAACCGCTGTGGTCGTTGACCTTCGCGGTCGGTACTAAAGTGGCTGGCTCGGTGCCCCGGAGCCTTTCGAAATGTGCCAAATTGAGTCGTCGAGAGGGGAGAAGTGGACTCTACTCCGATTCATCCCATCCGGATGTTCCATCGAGACATCCAAGCCTGCATCACCTCTCACCTTGACGACGGCAGTTCTATCCTCCAATAGGTGGTTTGCTCATCCACTCTGTGCTCAACCATCCCACGGAGGCTCGCAGTAACACACTTTTTCCCGCACCTCCACGTACGGTGCGAAAGAAGTTCAACATACATACTTAGTCATCCACTCACTGCCCGGCAAAACCGACGACAGTGTGACGTCCTGCGGCAGAACGTTTATTTCATCACGGCCCGTGAAACGCTTCCACGGATGCAGCGAGTTCCACCGTCGGACAAACCACGAGGCACTTGCCGACACAACAGCAGCAGACGCTTAGTCCCCGTGTTGCTCGTCCCCCGGAATCCACCCAGTCCAGCCTTCCTTGGCTCGTAGTCCCAAGAGATGAGCAATGTGCGTATATCAATAAGTGTTGCAACACAACCGGCCAGGGAACATCGTTGGGAAACGAAAATCAAACAAACGAACGTTTCTGCCGGCCGGGCCACAGACCCGACCCGTTGACGTCACAGCATGCCGCACGGCGGCGAGTCGTTCACAGTTAAGAATTGCACCTCGTTAACACATCCGTCGCCACCTCTTCCCGCGTCGCATGGCACGAGAGCCGCAGGGAAGGCTCTGCGCACGCATGAAGGGGGACGCAACGCCCGGCTCCCACATCTCACAAAATTAATACCCGCAGCGCGCTCGCGGAAATCACGCCATCACCCTCACGACCGGTCTGTCGACGACTCGTGCACTTCCCGCAAAAACCACGGCATCCCCATTGGCATGGAACTGCGAGTCCGGAAGACATAACTGCCAGACCATGGCGTGCGTCCCTATTGGTACGGAGCTGCCGTGGCCGAGTGCGCGATTCCATCATCTGACGAAGCCGAAGGCCGCGCTAAACCAGGGCTACTTACGAATGATCGTCGATGGCAAATGTCAATGGCTGTCGCTAAAATCTGTCCAAATCTAAATCAGCCATTCCAATACAATTGCAGGCATCGTCATCACGTCACGTTTATACAGGGCCAAGGGGGACCACCCTCCGCCATCATCTGTTCCTGCGCAGCAAAAGGTGGGCATAGCACCAGGCAGCAAGTGGGCATTAGTCTGCTGGCATGCAACGATCTTGCCACGTGGCAACATGACCTCAACTGCGAGTAAGAATAGCGGAGCTGCCACACATAGCCTCATTTTTGTTGAATAACGTTCACGGGAACTTTAACGTCCATCGTGAAGTACACTGTGCGTGTCCACGATTAATACACCCGTATGGATAACCTCACCCTTGCCATAGGAATGTAGAATTTCTACCACTGGCTCAGGGTTGTAAACAGAAGATGAGCACAGCCTCAATGCTCATTCAAGCAGGAAACTACTATTCACCAGCACCATGTGACCGTCCCGCTCACCTGCCCTCTCCCAATGCAACCGACCTCTACGTGACCCCTGGCGGTCCCGTAAGCGACACCACGGAGGCCTCCACCTCGTCGTCATCGTCGTCGTCGCCTGTGCTGACCTCCTCCTCGCGGGCCTGGCGACCGTTGGCGGTGGGCACCAGCGCGTGGTACTCGTAGCGCTCAGGCCCGTGTGCTCGCCGACACCGGGCTGGCCCCAACCACTGCAGCACGATTCCCAGCATCAGCAGCGCCGCCAGCACGGCCAGCGCGGAGGAGACGAGGAACCAGGGGCTGGGCGGAGGGACGGAACGGCGAGGGGAGAAATTATATCATCGCGTGTCGGGCCAATTGCATGTCCCGGCGCGGCAGTTCAAACAAGGGGGGACATTTCTTAAATTCCCTCCACCGACTCCGTCCACCCAGCAGTATGAATCAGTCAGGTGATCATTAAGTCGCAAGTGGTGGGGTAAAGTGTGGGTGCTCCCAAGATGCCTGACCATCGTGACAGAATAGGCCAAAGTAGTGCACATCCTTCTTTCAGCAGTGGTGCGAGCAAGCAACCGCAGGGTCTGCACCTTAACTTTAACAAATGCGTTAACGGCCCCAGGAGACAAAGTGAAGGACAGAAGATGGCAGTGGTCGGGCCCCGGGCCGGGCTTGTTCTCGGCACGGGATGCACCCCCCCCCCCTCGTACTTGGGCGATGCGAAGTGCTCAAGTGGAAGGAAGCCGAAGCCGGGGGAGACGGGAACCCAGGGTGATAGACGCAGGCGTAGGAGATCTAGCAGGAAAAGGATTGAAGGAGGCAGTCCTCTTCTCCCACATGGCTCAATGTTAGATGGCTAAAAGCATCCGAGATCTTTAGGACCGGCTTATGGAGGCAGTGGCTGGCGTTTGTGGAGGCTGAGGAAGGCAGTGATACCGGCTTCATGGTGGAAATGCATTCATTGTGAAAAGTGACCCGAGTTCGATTCCCGGACAAGGCTAACCTCAGTGGCAATAACTGAACTGGTCCTAAGCACCATCTACCCCAGTCCCCTTCACCAACATGAACTAACCAGCATGGTGAAGTATGGTCAAATCACTTTTTTCTACCTTTGATTTTCAAATTCTAAGCGGAATTATGGACACATGCGTTTAATACAATGGGGTGCAGCAGGGAGCTCAGCGGCAGAGCGAGCAGCTTCCAATCGGATGGGCGCGAGGTCATATCCTGCTTGGCTGCTGACTCAGTCCACCATCTCTCTCCTAGGGTCAATGAAACGAGCACCACTTTGTGGGGAAATCAAGTGGCTTTCCTATAGATATACTCGACCGCGCCATAGGAATGTGGAATTTCCACCACTGGCTCTGCAGGGTTTGTACACGCGAGACGACCGCCGATGTCTCGATGCTCCTTTCGAGCTGGAAGCCGCGACCGGCTGCGATGTCGAGTGCGGGGATCCGCGGCGCCGCAGCAGCACTTACTCCGTAGCAAGACGCGAGAGGCTGGCGGCTGCGCCCTGCCGCACCGCCTGCTGCGCAAGGCAGGAGCACACTGCAGGGGGAGCACAGCACAGCGAGCCACTCCAACCAACCACAAGTTTAATTAAATCAACGACGGTTAAGTACATTTGGCTCATAACACGAGACTAAATTCTATGCTTCTGCGGATGTGTATACTTTAACTTAGCTATTTCAATGCTAAATTCTATGCTAATTCCTTTGTCAAGGGGTGCCTTTGCGGATGTGTATGCTTTAACTTTAACATAGCCTTTTCTGTGACCAGTCACAAGCTAATCACTCAGCCATTTCAATGCTAAATTATATGCTAATTCCTTTGTCAAGGCGCTTTGTTTCTTCTCGCACAGCTTAAAGGTCGTGATCTCAGCGTGGCTTTCTCACTCCAGCGCTGTCCTCCAGACAGTCTCGTCCCCTTCACCTGATGAAGGCCGCTTGTGTTGTGGCCGAAACGTCGTGTGAATATTATTGTTATTTTATTTTATCAATTTATTATTTTATTCTCATTCTACGTGACTTTACCGAAAGAACCAAAGAAGATACCACACAGGTGTCTGTGTTTCACAGACGGGTATTAGTCTGCCATTGGGGTATGACGTTACTGTGTGATTTAAGTAAATTGCGAGCAATCTTTTGAAAGTTGGCAAAGTTCGACGGCGATTCCGGTACTCGCGGCCTGCTCTACCTCGACCAGCCCCACCGGGTCTTTAACGTCCGCCGTGAAGCAGACGGCACCATAGTTTGTTAACCGTTAATACACCCGTCGCAGTATTACACCAGGGTGGCCACTGGTCTCGAACCGCTGTAATAAGCGGCGAAGGCGCCATCGCTCGGCCACGTCACAGGACTGGTCAATGGTGATGCCATTGTCGCCATCGTCGCCATCGTCGCCACCCCTTCTCCTGGTGGAGTGGGGGCCCACGTGTGGCCACGGGTAGGGAGGGGGTGGTCACACGAGGGCTTTGCCGGGGCCGTCACCTTTGCTGACGCTGCTGGGGAGGGCGCCGCCGGTGCAGTTGCCGGTGACAGCGTCGCACGTGCAGCTGCGGCTGCAGTTGCACTCGAGGGTGCAGCCAGAGCCGTGCAGGCCCGGAGGGCACTCTGCAGGGCATGGGAGTGGGGGGGGGAAAGATAAGAGTATACGAATCAAGTTGTTTAACATACTCGGTGAGTTGTTGCTAATTTTACAAAAATCGCTGCCGTAAAAAAGTGTGCAGCGAGGAAGTCGGTATCCTGCATTGCGAGTGCAGCGTAGCCTCAAAGGCCTACTCTCCAAACTCCACACGGTCGAAAACGCCGCTGCCAGACTCCTCACCAATCCAATGCTGGATTAATATCAAGATTGCACTAGCCGCCTTCAAAATAATCCACGGACTCACCCCTGTTTATCTCTCCCCTCTCATTTCACTCGACTCCCCTCCTCCACACACTCTTCTACCTCTCATCTCACTCGACTCTCCTCCACACACTCCCTCATCTCTCCCCACTCATCTCACTCTACTCCCCTCCACACACTCTCCTACCTCTCTCTTCTAAGCTCACTCTACTCCCCTCCACGCACACTCCAGTGAACGGCCACTCAGTGGGATGTCACTTATTCTCCTTTGCTTCCCCCACAGTTTAGAAGGCCCTTCTATCAGCCTTCCATGCTGTGAAGTCCCCGTCCCTGTTCAGGTCCAAGCTCAAGACCTCCTCTTCTTCTTAGCCGATGACCGGCTTGCCTCTAGATCAAGTAGTTGGGGTTTGCGTGAAGATTAGAGGCTGGATCGAGGAATAGGGGACCGTGTGCAGGGTGGTTTTGGGGTGCGGGTGCAGGGTGGTGTTGGGGCGAGAGTGCAGGGTGGTGTTTGGGGCGAGAGTGCGGCGCTACCTGCGTCACAGTGGGCGCCGTGAAACCCACGCGCACAACCGCAGCGCCCGCTCACAGGGTCACAGGTCGCGCCATGCGCACATGCACACCGCTGGGCACAGCCGCCCCCGAACCATCCCTTGGGGCAATCTGGCACACAGCGGGGACGACATAATCACCATCACCACCACACTCAGCCATGATTTATCCACCTCAATATAACGATCCACTCTGCACCTCCACACAAGAGCTGACTGCATCGATCTGGAGTGCTTTCTTCACTCCGTGTGAGGAATGATTTCATCAGTTCAGGTTTCTTCCAGGTATAACCAAACCAAAGCAAAACCCTCTCTCGATGGCACAAACACGGCCGGAAAATCCCATTACTAGCAGCAACAACAACCGCCATTGCCACTAAGTGGCGGTGACGTCACGATGCTGCTTATGCCAGGCTATGTGCACGTAAAGGCCATGTGAAGTGTCAGGAGGTCACGGGACAGACCCAGGTACCATGGGTCGACTGACTGAGATGACTGGTCGATACACCACCTGTGCCCCCCGCAGCAGCAGCAGCACCAACAGCAGCAGCGCTTACCGGTTGTGCAGTTTTCACCCATCCACCCGGCGTCACAAACACAGCCATCTGCCGGGACACACACATCCACACACACGTGCACAGGTACTCCATCAGCACCTGGCCGGGCAGTGCCTAATGTGTTTATTATGGGCCTACTGCAGGCTAGCGTGCTCACTACCCAATCACGTACGTGTAATGCCCTTACTGTCAATCCACTGCTGGCTGAGGGCCCTCGCATGCCATTCGGGTTTCAAGGGTTATTTTATTTATGGATGCTGAACTTCTTTCGCAGTGTACGTAGCGAACCGTGCTAATCGGTGGTGCGTGTGGTTACAAGACCATTCCTCACCAGGTTGGTCAGTGCGGGTTGGTGAAGCGGGGGAGGAGGACGTAACACTCGCCACTGATGTTAATTATGACGGGGATTCAAACTCAGGCCACTGGGTTCATAGGGCGGCGCGCTAACAAATGCGTCACCGCTCCATCTACATTTGGCCACAGGCATTCATAACATCACTCCCGCCAATGCAGACGGGCACGTTAAGGGAGCCTCCACAAAGCACCGGGCCGGGCGGTACCTTCCGTGCAAATGCCACGGCCGCTGCAGTTGCCGGCGCCGCAGAGCAGCGCGTCGCACGCGGCGCCCACCCAGCCCCGCCGGCACCGGCACAGCCCGGCCACACACTCGCCGTGCTCGCCGCACCCAGGCGGCGCACACGCCGGCTCATGCACGCACAGCACAGTGGAGACGCGGCGCGCGCACCGCCACATGGGGTCTTCCGCACTGCACACACGCGCGCACGCACACGGGGACATCATGATGCGACAGTCAATCAAAGAGGACCGTGTGCGTGGTGGTATTGTAATATTGTGATTGTGTTTGCATGTAAGAGCTTTTGAAAGAGAAGTGATGTGCTAGCATGGGGTCGACTGTTCATAGCTGGTGGGTAACAACCCATTGTTTCCAATTCCTCGTGCAAACGGCTGGTTCGTGGAAGCTGTTCAGGTTCTAGAAAAAACCCGTAGCCATGATACGTTCTACGTGCGCCGCTCGGGGAGAAATGAAATTGATTTTTGAATCAAAGCCATATTGACAATTCTTCGAATAATGGCAGGGGAGAACTGTTCCATGTCTGTCAAAAAGTGCTAATCGCACAATCACCCAGGACCCACCCGATCTCATGAGAAGCTAATCAGGACTGAGCCCGCATAGCACGTGGGTGGGTGATCACCATGCACGGATTGGCACAGGGCTTGCGATTATTACGTTGTGGGCAGCAGAGGGAAGGGCAACAAAACCCATTGCAGTACTCTTCTGCTCTAACACCAACACTCCATACCTTTACCAACGCACACTGACCAGCATGAAGTATTGTTAAATAAGCCTCAAGACATGCGTAGTGGTAACGCCTTGCAGGAAGTACACATAGCCACACACACCAGTGGTCGGACGGGTAGTTGGCGAGCGTGCCGTTAAGCACCAGTGTCGCTGAGCCCCCACCGTCCAGATTCACGGCATTCATGACACCGTGGGCCTGCAGGAAGGCGGCGAACTCCCACAGGTTCACCCTGGATGGCACAGGCACGACGCATGGAATTGAAAACCAATGAGCAGCTCTTAAATAAAAGACAAAGAACCCCCAGATAGGGTTAACAAACTGTTAAGGTGCTGTAAGCGACCACTTATGAAGGCCGGCATGGCGCACGAGCGGGTGGGTGGCCAGCATCACGCCCGGCTGCTTTTGTCTCCCAAGTGGTGATGTTTACACCAGGTACTTATTTGAGGCTGAGTCGACCTAGTGGAGGCCCAGGACCCGGTTCAGATAATTGTCACTGATGTTGGCTGTGAGCGGGAATCGAACTCAGGTCTCCAGTTTAATAACGTAGCAAGATAACTGCTATACTACTGCTCCCCAGCTCTTAAATCAAGGCCGCGGATTCGCCATGGCTGTAGCGAAGGTGGTGGTGGTGGGAGAGATGGCGGCCGTAGTAGGAATGGTGGTGGTAGGAAGAGTGGAAGTGGGGTGGTGGCTGTGGTGGCGGTGAGGATGGTGGTGGCGGTGGGAGTGGTGGTGGTGGCGTTGGGAGTGGTGGTGGTAGCGGTGGGAGTGGTGGCTGTGGGATTGGTGGCGGTGGGAGCAGTGGAGGCGGCAGACCCACGTGTGCGTCTGCACCCGCGCTCGTACCCGCGTGCGTCCGTTTGCCCGTCGATCTGCACGAGGACGACGCGCCCCTCGCGGTCGTGCCCGACGGCCGTGCGTGCCGACACCACGCTAATGAAGCGGTCGAACGTGCCTGCCGGAACAGACACACAGATCCCCACCGTGTTGCCTTAGCAGACGGTTCAGCAAAGTGCTGCTAGCCAGCACCTACAGACACACATATATAGATCCACACAACCGCTATTCGCATGTGCCAGGCTTGGTGAAGCTAAAGAAGCGTCCCAGGCTTGCTGGCAGGAAATCACAGGACAGATCCAGGTGTTATGCATTGACTGGCTGAGATGACTCACAGATGTACCTCCTGCGCTCCCCACTACCCGACTTGCTGGGATTTGGCCGCCGGTGCTGTTTTTTATTGTCACCATCACTCCTCCTCATGCCATGGTTGTCGAAGGGTGGGTACCTCCAACTGCCCAGTAGCGAGCTGAACAAGCCTCCTCCACATAGGCCATTCTTGATACCTCTTTGCTCTGGGTAGTGTCTCTCACCTTTAACCCCTGAATAAGTTCGGCCGGTTTTCAATAGGGTGAGTCCCTAATAGCTACTTTATTAAAAAATGTGGTTATCTTGGATAATCTTCATGAGCGTTACAGAGCACCTCCCCCCACCCCCACCCCGTTAGAGGTAGAAGATCAGACAGTAATACAGTACAGTAATATGGAAGAATGGATGCGGCTTGCCATTGACCAATTTCAACCTTGGCTGAAAAGCATTGCAAGGCAGACGACACGTGGGCATGAAACCAGGGCTGCGTGCAACACGGTACCCGCCACGGCGGGCATGCAGGGACAGCGCCGCACCGGTCTCCTGGGTGTCGCCACACTCGACGGCACGGCTCTCGTTGATGTAGATGGAGCCGTTACGCAACAGCCACACCACGCCGGACACTAGCTGCAGCCAGGGGCTCTGCTCCGCACCATCCTGTTCCTCCTCTTCCTCCTCCGCTTCGTCGTCCGACAGGTACCTACACGGTACCACCATACCCCAGGCGGAGTTCAAGTGTGGTCTTCTGGCTCAGACCGCATGCTGAGAATTTACTCTCGAAAACTTTTGCCATGCGCTATTGCAGGCGTCTGAAGATGCAGGGGACCGTTGTGAATAATGATCCATGTGTATGGCATGAGGAAACAGACAGACACTGAATGCTTAGTCTAGGACAAAATCACCCAGAACATGGGCATCTGAAGGTGAAGATCCACAAGGTAGTGAGTAGCGAAAGCTGTAGAGAAGGATGCTCCACACAGGGCCTAACCCAAGACATCGCACTTCTATTGCTGCTGCATAAAAAAACAATGTGCCAAGTCCCTCAGATACTTAAAGCCAACACTCGTAGAGAGCAAAATTCCTTGGGTTAACACCAGAACCGTGGAGCGAGCCTTTGTTATGATGCAGGGTTGAGAACTCTTTTCCTTACCGAGCGCCGGACAGGACTATCAATTACCTTTGGCAAACAACCACACATTAACGCTCAATCTTAGCGTTGTCCATTATGTGAAAAATAATTATAAACGTTGACAGAAGATGTGACGGGCAATAGCCAGGTGGCTCAGAGATCAGAAGTCGCATTAGGCGCTATGCAAATCAAAACTGAACTGCATTTGTATTCCAACTGTCTATAGTCACAGCTCTACGCTGATCTCGACAAGAGCAGCTAGCGCGAACCTCGCGGCGATGCTCACCCGGTGACGATGGTGCCGTCCCGGCGTATGCCGAAATTCGCGTTCCTCACTCCGTTGGCGCCGAGCACGGAGCGCCCGTCGCTCACGATGTTGCCGAGGCAGCGCCCCATGTACGGGCGGAAGAAGCCGGCGTTGGCTGAGACGAGGCAGCGACGCGTCTCTGCCGTCTCCGCCACCGTCTCGCGCCGATAATCCGAGCACCCGCCGTCTCCTCCCGGCTCCAGCACCGACAGGGTCCGCGCCGGATCCTCCACCACCGTCCAGTGGCCGTACACGAACTGCGCAGAGGGGCGGGAAAGTGCGTGGGAAACATCATTCACATTACAGATCAATGCCGGGGAGGTGCAAATGTATTCCATCTGGAGACTCCAGATATTTCTTCTCCAAGCTCAACACTGCTTGCTTTTCAAGTGCCACAAAAAAGAACATGATGAAGAAGACTACTACGACTACCTTCTTAGCGCCGTCGCTAGTTTTGATGTCGGAGACGAACTGGTGCGTGATAACACCGTGACCGTGGGCCACGCCGGGCCCGGGCCGGTGAGCAGGCCACGCTTCGTGGGTGACGTTGCCATAGGTCCCCGGTTGACATTGCCGCACCACGCGCAGCGGCACGCGGGCCCCGTGCGGGGAGCCCGCCGGGTAGGGCAGCAGTAGATCGTCATCGAGGGACGGTCTGAGGAGGCACGGGGGAGACCGGGGTCATGAAGGGTCACGGTATGGAATCATACTAGACTTTATTCAGTCTCTTCCATCATCATCATGAGCCAAGATCGATCTACTGCCGGATGAAGGCACCCCCTCCTGCCCCCATCCGTCGCCATCTCTCAAAGTCTCACAAAGCAACAATCTAGCTCCCACAAGGCGGGTGCTGGAGTGGGCCCTACACTACCAAACGTCCCTTTGGCCCACCAAGTTCACTCTCCTTAGCGATACATCAGTTACAGTGAAAACGCGCGCCAGAAACGTTAATAATCGATCAGAGTCGAGCACCATTATGCAGAAAAAATCGAAGCGGGCCGATTGATGGACCGAAATCGGCTTCTGATTAGCTGGTGCTGATCTCCAGGCGCCTGCTGGGATCCGAGAAGAATAATGTTCAGCAAGCACTCTCGGTGCCAGGCTGGGTGCTGTCGCGACTGACAGGAGCTCGCCTCCTCAGCCACTACGCTCGCGTCGGCAACTTCTCAAGGTGGTATGTTTGTTTGTTGTAGTACAGAGTTAGTCTGATAGCTTTAATCTAAATTGTCTTATGGTTGTTGTTGTTGTTTTGCACACAGCATTGATATTCGGTGCTTTTTCTGGAAGACTTTGCTGTTTTTTTCCTGGATTGTTATGTTGCACGTGGTCATTTTAAGATGTTTCTTGTTCATGTTTGTTGCGGTTGCACCCGATTCAAGAGTCGAATGGCTCACAGGGCTATACCTAATAAACTGAAACATGCTGCTTCCTGTGCTTCTGTGCACGTATTGTAGGCTGCTGCTCCCTCTGCTTTTGAATGTGGGGTCACGCGCAGTGTGCATGACCCCCGCTGTCCCGGTGGACACACACACACAGGTTAGGTGGCGCCACCCAAGTGGGGAGTGGCCCTGGGAAGGAACGCTGCTGCCACGTTGCAGTCCCGGGCTGTGCTGTGGTGGGGGGGGGAGTCGACCCGGCCTGGCGTGGTCTCGTGATTATTCTCGTGATTATTCACGAGACTCCGGTAACCACCCGTTTAATTAGTGACATCGGAAGCAACAGTTGCTCAAGTTGTGCGATCGTACAACGCAAAGCGACCATTTAGCGTCGCTGTGGCGAATGCAAGTTATAAAATAACAGGATAATCCGCCTCCACAGATCTGTCCCTCAAAATAAAAAAACAATTAAAAGTAACACGGCCTTCTGGGAATGCACAAAACCAGCAGAACTGGCTCAACACAAGCTCTGGACAGATTTCGACCATTCGGCAGATCCATGCTTTAACCAATATTGAACTGCCAGAGATGTTTGCTTACAGCTCAGGACGCCCCTCTTCGATACGAGTCCCTAATTCGACGCAACACTACACAAATACACACCACAATCACGAGCGCATTATACAAGATGCGCACTTGTGTGGATATACTGCATCGCCGCCCACCCTCCCCACCCTTTTTTGTTTGTAAATTCCACTGCTGGATGAAGGCATCCCGGTTTCGGGAGTGGTTCGCGCGCTGCGCCCCAGACCGGCCACCCGAGTTGGACTCCCGCCCGCGGCCAGCGACCAGAAAGTCCGTGAGGTGTGACCCCCCCCCCCACGGCCGGCACCCCGCCACCATCGTGGGCTCCTGCCGGCCTTCCGAGAAGGTTGATGATCGACAACAGAAACTTGCCCCCAAAAGTCCGCTCAGGGTACAACCGGGGAGACCTTTCGCAAAACCAAATAATCAACCGACGCTTACTGCGTTTGTGCGTGAGGCGCAAGTAACACAAACTCAATGGATGTGTCAACGACACTGCCCTAAAGGGATGTTTGGTGGGGAGGGGGGACACATACTTATGAAGACGACGTTTCGGACAATGGCCCTTCATCAAAGCAGACAACGGCGGTGGCTGAAGTTCGTGTGTGGAGAGGCAGCTCACCACCACCCTTTCGGACACCGCTCCGAACGGGTTGTGGTGAGCCGCAACTACCCATCGATGTTCCCCGTGGTCGGGAGCACTGTATATAGTACGTACTGCTGAGCGCACTACGCTAACCACTGCGCCCACCGCTCCTCACACGGGCCAGCAACGCGACCCACCAGAAGTGGAGTCCTGGGCGCTTCACAAGTCACACGATGCGGGCCTGGGTCCACGTCTGGGTCAGAACGTTCACTCGACGTTCACTCCACGTACAGGGAGCGCCAGTCCACGACCTTTTAGCGACTTCCAGGCAAATTCCACCCAGCAAGCACACCCCCCCTCTCTCACTCGACATCTCAATCAGCAACCCGCACAAACCACGCGTTGACAACTCGTACCTGTCACAGCTTTGATAGTGCTATCTTGATTTGAAGCTTTCGTGACTGCAGGAATACATACTCTGTGCTCCTTTCGGTAAAGTCACGTAGGTATAAAATAAAATCAATCACGACGTTTCGGGCGCAACACAAGCGTCCTTTCGAAACCACCTGATGACGGACGCTTGTGTTGCGCCCGAAACGTCGTGATTTTATAACCGAAAGAAGCAAAGAGTATAGTTTTGATAGTGCTGTTTGTTGCTGGCCTCTTAACGCCCGGGCGCGTGCTCAACAATCTGTTCAATGAAAGTAAGGGGGGGGGGGTCTTGGTTCACTTGGGCCCGGCTTGCGTTCACTCACCCCGTGCGCCCTGCTCGCCACGGCTCCGCCCGCACCGTCAGACACACGAACACCGACACCACCACCACCGCCGCCGCGAACTCCCGCGGCCAGAGTCGCCCTCGCTGCCGCCCCCGCGTCCCCACCATGTCGCCCTGGCCCGTGGGACCCGGCCCCGACTGGGGCGCCTCGCGCGCGTCGGGGTTATCCCCCCCACTACTCCTCCTCCTCTCACCGCCCTTAGTAAGATGGCGGTGACGGCAATCTTCACGCTTCTTACTCAGCGGTGAACCCCCTTAGTAAGATGGCGGTGACGGCAATCTTCACGCTTCTTACTCAGCGGTGAACCCCCTTAGTAAAATGGCGGTGACGGCAATCTTCACGCTTCTTACTCAGCGGTGAACACCCTTAGTAAGATGGCGGTGACGGCAATCTTCACGCTTCTTACTCAGCGGTGAACCCCCTTAGTAAAATGGCGGTGACGGCAATCTTCACGCTTCTTACTCAGCGGTGAACACCCTTAGTAAGATGGCGGTGACGGCAATCTTCACGCTTCTTACTCAGCTGTGAACCCCCTTTAGTAAGATGGCGGTCACGGCAATTTTCATGCATCTAAGGGCATGATAACCCCTTAGTAAGATGGCAATCCTCACGCTTCCAAGCGGTGAACCCCCTTAGTAAGACGGCGGTCACGGCAATCTTCACGGTTCCTACTAAGCAATGAACCCCCTGAGCAAGATGTCAGTAACGGGGATCTACACGCAAATCGCCATCTTGCTAAGGGCTGGAGCCCCTTCGCGAGGTCGAAGGCCTCGAGGTTCGTGACGACATCGCGAGCCCCCCCCCGCCCCTACCCAATATGGCGCCCTGGTACTTGTCCTCGCCCCCTCCGTGCTGAGGTGTCCGTGTGCGGGGCTCCACGCGTCCCACCCTCGCCGCGGCCGCGATCACAGCTCGCCCGAAATTAACGGGAGAGCGATCAGAGCTTCAGCCAGCCGCACCGAGAGATAGACGAGCGGCTCGCGAACCATGGCGGCAAACGTCTCGCTCATCGTGAACCGGGCCCTGCTGGACCCCAACTTTGAGAGCTACCGCCTCTCCCTGGACCCAATCCCCACGTACAGCGTGCAGCTGCAAGAAGGTAACCGAGTCGATCGGTGAGCTGATGATCAATTCAGCTGCTCTAGGGACCGAGCAGGTGGACCCTGTGAGCAATGGTACCTGTCACACTCTCACGCTGTCACACGCTCTCTCACACTCACACACTCTCTCACTCTCACACTCTCTCTCACACTCTCACCCTCACACACTCTCACACACTGTCACTCTCTCACGTTCTCTCACACACTCTCACACACCCACTCTCTCACCCACTCTCTCACTCTCTCACCCTCTCACCCACTCTCTCACACTCTCTCACCTACTCTCACACTCTCAAGCTCTCTCACACACTCTCACACACTTTCTCTCACCCTCTCTCACTCTCACCCCCATCTCACTCTCTCACACTCTCTCCCACTCACTCACACTCTCTTACCCTCTCTCTCACCCTCTCACCGTCTCACGCTCTCTAAATCTCTCCCGCTCTCTCCCGCTCTTATCCTCTCTCGCTCCTAATTCTCTCACCCCTCTCACACTCTCACCCTCTCTCACACACCCTCACACACTCTCTCACCCTCCCTCACTCTCACACTCTCACCTCTCTCACCCTCTCTCTCACTCTCACCTTCTCTTACCTACTCTCTCACTCTCACACGCTCTCACCCTCTCACGCACTCTCTCGCTCTCTCACCCTCTCTCTCACTGTCTCTCACCCACTCTCTCGCTCTCCCTCATCCTCTCTCACACTCTCACCGTCTCACGCTCTCTAAATCTCTCCCGCTCTTACCCTCTCTCGCTCCTAATTATCTCACCCCTCTCACGCCAACAGGCATCTCGCAACTACGACGGGACTACGAGTGAACCTTCATTCGGCTACTCTGAACCTCTATTCAAATGCCCGTGTGTTCAGCGCCTTTGTCAACCCACTGCCGGATGAGGGCGCTGCCCCCGCTGCTGTGCGTGTCGTGGAGGTCGGTTGACCATACTTCACCACCGTGCTTCTGCCCAGTGCGGTGGTGAAGTAACAAGAGTGCAACTTGGCTGCACTGCCCTGTGCTGCCCAAGATGTAGCCCCGCAGTCGATAACAGCCCCTGATGCGTAGCGGTAGCCAATGCAAGCAGCATATCCAGGCGCTACCCCTGCTTAGCTTCTGTCCCGGGTGATTCGCTCGGTAGGCCACGTGGATTCACCACCGTCACATTTGATAAATGTGCCACGCTCCCACCCGCCTGGTGGATTTTGGGGTTATTTTTATGGCTTTCGATATTTGGAGCTCCCCTCTAAACCTCGTGTTATATGCGGGACCTGGTATATCGACCCCACGCTCTTTCGAGGGAACACGAAACAACCAAGGTAAACATATAGTGCTCGTGAACTGCCAGATTTTCAAAGGCAAGGAAACCTCTCTGTTAGATGTTTTGTAAATGCACATTTAGGTAGTTTTGCATTGAACTAAGAAAATATTTCACATAGAGGGAGGACCCTTGCTAACCCACATCTCTGGCAGTTCACCAGCAGTGGTTTAAACAAGCCGGATTCTGATTGAGACACTGCATATATTGAAAACGGGTCCAGAAGTTTGCTTGTACTAAATCAGTGCTGCTGAAATTATGCACTCCCAGATGGCCGTGTGTGGCTGATGGGATGTAATAAAAAAAACATAATTTTTTGTATGTGGGGAGACATTATGGGAAGGAGGAAGTGTGTTGCCTGCTTAATGTATGGATCTCTTTGGTTCTTTCGGTAAAGTCGCGTAGAAAATAAAATCATATAATCATAGAATACGGCGTTTCGGTTGCAACACAAGCAACCATCATCAGGTAAGAATGAATGATGAAACACAGACACGGAAACAACACAGGCAGACACACATGCAGAGAGAGACACAGACACACCAAGACACACCGAGCGAGACACACACCAAGAACCAAGACAAACAGAAGGGCAACGACTCTGTGCATTGCGTAACACTTCTTAATTTTACTAAATTAGCTTTCTCAAACTTTCGATTTTCTTGCACTAAACCATTGTCTCTCCTCCAGCCACTGTGGTCCGGAATCTCACGCCGCTCCCCTCGTCTGTCTGCTGGTCCCCTCGTTTTGTCCGCCTCCGCAGTCCTCTCTCTATTGAAGGCCTGAGTCGTTGTGCTTCTGTTTGTCTTGGTGTGTGTCTCGCTCGGTGTGTCTTGGTGTGTGTCTGTGTCTCTATCTGCATGTGTGTCTGCCTGTGTTGTTTCCGTGTCAGTGTTTCATCATTCATTCTTACCTGATGATGGTTGCTTGTGTTGCAACCGAAACGTCGTATTCTATTATTATTTGATTTTATTTTCTACGTGACTTTACCGAAAGAACCAAAGAGTAATTCCTGCAGTCACGAAAGCTTCGAATCTAGTTTAATGTATTAATGTTGGAACCGCACCAGAAGCACGTGGCACGGGCAGAGGCCACCAGGTGGCAGCCGAGTCACAGGGGGCTTTTGTAGATCATCGTTCGTGCAGCCCGAGCACTTCATGGGGGGAAGCGTGTTATCAATATTAAGTGATGATGATTGGCTGGATATGGTTTAATTGTTTCCCTTCGCTCGAAAGGCTCTGAGTTTCTGCAGACGTTTATATGTTTGCAATGTCACAATTAATATTTGAATTGGAGCGAATATCTTCTGACGTTTACCCTAAATAATAATAATAAAAATGCTCGTTGGATCTCAGAAACTGAGCCTGGTTAGTACTTGAATGGGTTACACTGACAGGACTTGGCTGGTATTGTAGGCGTGGAGCTGCGAAGTGTGGCGAGGAGATGGCAGTGCTGATTGTCTTCCCCTCGTATACAGCTCCCTGGGCTCTCTCGGGATTCTCTGGCTTCCTCTCTCACACGAAAGTAAATCTGTCAACTTTGAAAATTGGCCAAAAATGGCAATGTAGCAGGACCCTGCTGAAAAACAGTCTTGGGACTCAGGGAGTCTTCCCTGGGTAAATGCACATTATAATTATCAGTATTATATACGCACTTATTTTGTGGCTATAGCAACGAAGCAGGCGCAAGCAGCTCTGCCTCGCTCCGTGTAATCTTGTGCCCGCATCTCACTCTGCGTCCAACTCGAGCCGTTACTATAGCAGCGGCGGTGGCACCGCTGCACGCAGCTATGTTAAACGATTAAGACTCTTCGCCAATATTAAATTGGAGAGCACCGGTGGTCGGTTTTAATTTACTCAGCAGATAGAGGGATGGGCGAGGGGGCACCTGGCTCGGATCCAGCCACAGAGAACCGACTGCAAGGGACGGGCACGTGGCACTTGAGCGCTCTCCGTCACAGTGGCCAAGTGATTTGGCATAATTATTTGGCAACCTTCAATCATTATTAATTAATTTTAATTCAGATTGTTTATCCCGGAAGGTTTCACTGAGTCTCAGGACTATTTTTCAGGAGGGCCCTGCCAATGTTGAAGCAGTAGGGAGAAATGTTGCCGTGTTTAATCCCAATTGAGTACATTTGTAGGTAAATTTTGAGCATTAGGGTGTTTGGCCAATACCAGTTACATTGTGTGGGCATTATTTTTAAAATGTGGCATAGAGGCTCAAATATGTTTTGTCTGCATGTGTGACGCGTGAAGTAGTCCAACTGCCTGCCGCAGCTGGCCCCATAGGCGGTACATCCACCGGTCATTGCAGTCGGTGAACCCATAACTCCTTGTGTCTGTGCCGTGACCCCCTGCTGGCATCGATCCTCTGCACTTCAACGGGTGCAGCTAGCCTCGGCGATGGTGACGATGTCAGCGTCACCTCGTTGGGAATGGCAGCTGCTGTTGCTGTTGTGTGGTGTGCTATGATGCATCAATTCATAGATTAATATTGATTCCCATGCTCAGCATATATATAAACATATATAAACACCACTTTGCATATCCTGTGTGTGAGCAGGGATTATTTTTATGCACGTTAGGCAGCTTCGCAGTCAATTAAAATAACACAAAGGCAAAAATCCCCTGTATAATCTTAACAAACTGTTGGGGCAAATTCTGTTGGCGAGCACCTGTGAAGGCCGGCACGGGGGTGGGTGGCCAGCACCACGTTCAGCCACCTTTGTCTCCCCATTGGTGATGTTTAAAAATCGCAAAAGGTACTCATTTCGGGCTGAGTCGACCTAATGGAGGCCCAGGACTGGTTCACATATTCGCCACTGTTAGTGTCCACGAGTGGGAATTGAACTCGGGTCGCCGGGTTCGTAGCGCAGTGCACTCGCACACACGCATGCACTCGCACACACTTACACACGTACACACTCACACACACCACACGCTCTCACCGTCACCATCCTCTGCTCAGTTCTTCTTCCAGCACCATAGCGGCATGGATGTGCGGCGTTGGCCATGAATGGAAATCGAACTGGGTTCACCGGGGTCGTAGAACAGCACGCTAACCACTATGCCACCATTCCCCACTTACGAAATAGTATAAGGTTTGACACACACATGCATCTGAATGCACCATCACAATCCAATCGTAGGATGACAAAGCTCAAGGTAGAACTCTCCTGAGCGACGCGACTCGCAACGTCATTCAACACCTCCTCTCTACACCAAGGACCGTGGTCACTGTGGGGCGTTGTTTCTCCGTGGCAGCCCCCGCCGTGTGGAACGTGGCCATCATCGTCCCACTGCCGCTGCACAATCGCAGCAGCAACGTTCAGTCTGC